TCCCCCAAAGAATGCCACAAAGCATGGTCCTGAACCACCTGCATCCATCGACTTCGTGCATGTCTTACCAGGTCGTCACTTAGTGTTATGAAAAGTGAACTTACCGATAAACATTTTAAAGTATTATTATGTTGTAAGTATAATATGCTTTCTTAATGGGAGATTTTTAATGCATTATTTAAAATGCTTATCGATAAGTTCCTGCAATGGAGTTGCTAGCTTTCTTCAGCCCTTAAAAAAGGAATTTCTAATTCATATTTATTTTGTGTGTTAATATTACTGTCGGTATATCGAAGTGCTGAAGTGTTTGTACAGTAGGGCTACGATGGCTATCCGAGTACAGAACCAGAGTTCGAAACCTATCCAACTGCAGAGAGGTGTAAGACAGGGTGACGTTGTATCCCCGAAACTCTTCATTGTTGGAAGACGTTTTCAAGCTACTGGACTGGAAAGGATACGGTATTAACATCAATGGCGAGTACATCACTCACCTTCGATTTGCCGACGATATAGTCCTTATGGCCAGAATCGCTGGAGGACCTTAGCACTATGCTCAATGACCTCAATGGTGTCTCCCAACGGATAGGTCTTAAGATGAACATGGACAAAACAAAGATTATGTTCAATGTCCATATCACACCTATGCCGGTAGTTGTGGGGGAGCACTATGCTCGAAGTTGTTGACGAGTACGTTTACCTGGGACAAATAGTCCGACTAGGTAAGTCCAACTTCGACCGAGAGGTCAATCGACGGATTCAACTCGGCTGGGCAGCGTTCGGGAAATTACGACACATCTTCTCGTCAGGTATACCTCAATCTCTGAAAACTAAAGTGTACAACCAGTGCGTGTTGCCAGTGATGACTTACGGATCAGAGACGTGGTCCTTCATTGCTGGCCGTATGAGGACGCTCAAGGTCGCTCAGCGAGCTATGGAGAGGGCTATGCTTGGAGTTTCTCTGCGTGATAGACTCAGAAATGAGGATATCCGCAGTAAAACCAGAGTGACCGACATAGCCCAACGGATTAGTAAGCTGAAGCGGCAATGGGCCGGCCATATAGCTCGAAGAACCGATAACCGATGGGGAAGAAAGGTTCTCGAGTGGCAGCCTCGTACCGGTAGGCGTAGTGTAGGGCGACCCCCCACTAGATGGAGTGACGACCTGTTAAGAAATGCAGGAAGTCGATGATGCCCGACGTGCTTTGTGGCGTTATTTGGGGGAGGCCTATGTTCAGCAGTGGACTTATGAAGGGCTCTAATGATGATGATGATGATGATGATATTATTAATGTTTCTTTTTATTCCAAATAATGAGTTATTTTCAATAATGTTAAATATATAATTATGTTGTTATGGTCAATAGGTTGATTTCTTTAAACAATGCTCTTACAAATTTGCGTAAATTGCGCGTGTAGCTCTTTTTTGCAAAACGAATAAAAATTCAATGTCACGTGATTTGCCTCACAAAGATATTGCTATGATAAAAAACTAGAAAAATAACTGAAATTTCCCGTATTTCAGTTATTTTTCTTATCTTGCAGTATGAACATCAGTTGATTGCCTTATTTTTCTTATAGTCAAAGGTATTTTTTTGGTTAAGTTTTGTAAAGCTATGTGATAATTTCATTGCTGTTTACTATCAAAAGCAACTCCTAGTAGGTACATTGAGCAGTATCCATTATCCAATTTGCGAGACAAAATTATATTACCGTGTGGTGATGGTGTAAAAGAATCCATCACTCTATTCCGTCCCGTAAGAGGCGTTTGTGGGAAATATCAGAAAGATCCTATAATTTCCTATAAATGGCAGTGTAACCATCTCGTTTATTCCAAACGTAAAATAACCATGCGAGACGTTTGGTACTACAGTCGTCATCGCGTTTGCCAAGCGTGACGATTAAGGCAAATTCTTCCAGCTACTAGAAAGGCCTACGTTCAACAGTTTGGATAGGCTTCTGCTGATTATTATTTTCTAAAATTGATAATTAATAATGTTAACTAATCTAACCTTGTTAACAAAATAACCACAGGCGTCTTAAATAACAATCAAATTAAAAGTCATTTTTGTTAACATTCTCGGGCATTTATTCTTCTTTTAATTAACGTTAATGGGGTGACGACTTAAAAATACTTTATAGGACATCAACTATATATCCAAACTATATATTCAAATATCGCTAAAAATGAAATTCGGTAAACTACAGAAATACATCGCGAATCTACTTTAGTTAGTTGGCAACATTATCAGTGACATGTGTCCCGATCAAAGTTAACGTATGTAAGGCTCAGAAGGGCTAGAACCCAGAGCCGCAAACCATCTTAATAAAAAATTTACTTATGTCAATGTCAGTCATCAGTCACAGTCTCTCTAGTATATATTACTGTACGTTAAACATCGATAGTTTGGTAATCCGATAGTATTGATAGTTTAACTAAAAACTATCGATAGTATCGATAGTCTATCGATAGTTTAAAAACTTGTAGGATTAGCGTAACATCAATAAAATAACAAATGTTATACGAAACGTAGAATTTTATTTTGATATATATATATTCGAAATAACAATCAAACAATCAAAAATCAGTATTCATCATTATTATAGTTAGAAATCAATCATTAAAATAACAGCTATTTTGTTTTATAAACAACAATTCATTTAATCTTTTTTCTTTTAACCTATTTCTGCGTTCGGTTAAAATTTGTCCGGCCTTCGAAAATATTCGTTCTGAAGGCACAGAAGATGCTGGAATACAGAGATAGAGCATCGCTAATTCCTTCAATTTATTGTTGGTGTATTTCCAGTATGTTATAGGACTCTCTTTTCTGTCAATTACTGGCTTCTCGAGATATTGCCTGACATCTACCAATGAGTTACTCAACGGGGTCGATACGTCCGGAACGTCTAGAAATCCCAACAGGTCATTAGATGTTCCTGAAGACGTGGATGGTGTTGGTTGCGTTTCTTCTACAGCCAAGCGTTCTTTAGTTAAATGGCTAGCATAGGCCTTTTCCAGCCACTGACCAGCTCGCTTCTCGTCGTCACTTGTTTTGAACCCCTTCTTCTTAAATCTGGGGTCCAATATTGTAGCAAGTACAACAGGTGTCCTGCTTTCATAGGGACTTAGTCTTTTGTCAACTGATCCCTTCATGCAGAGTAATATTTTGTTTCCGCTTTCAGTAACAATTTGAGATTCAACTTCTACTAATTTCGTTTTTATTCCACGAATCAATGGTATTATCAGTGACAATGTTATATAGCTTTCTCCGGAAATTTTTGTTGTAGCTAGATCGAAAGGTTCCAGAATTTGAATTGTTTCTTGAATAATTAGGTATTCGTCAGCATTGACTCCTGGTGGAGCCCGATTACATTCATTAAGTGCGAGAGTTAATTCTGTCTTCATTGTAACAATTCTTTGCAGCATGTGGTATGCACTGTTCCAGCGGGTGGGTACTTCCTGGATCACTTTCAGTTCTGGTTTATTTAATTCACGTTGAATAGCCCGTAATTTATCGCTAGCTAGAGTACTCATCTTGAAAAAAGTCACAATCGATTTACATTTTTTCAGAATCTGGTCTAAGCAGGTCACAGCAAACGAATCACTTACCGTCAGGTTTAGTGTGTGCGCAAAGCAGGGTATATGTCGTATATGCAGTTTGGCTGCGGCGTTAATCATTGTTTGAGCGTTATCAGTCGTTATTGCTTCACATTTTGACCTGATATCCCATTTTGAGAGAGTAGCATCCAACATCTGAAAACAATAATAATATTGTTTATGTCTGATTATAAAGAAACACTGAATTGGTAGGTATCAAGGCAATAAAATTTAAAAATACTTACACTGGCTATATTTTCTGCGTTATGACTTCCTTCCATCTTCACAACTTCCAATAATGGTGCAATTAATTTTTTGTTGTGAAAGAAATGACAAGTAACTGAAAGTATGCCTTCATTTGCAATTGATGTCCATAAGTCAGTAGTCACACTAACATGTTCTGCTTTCGATAATGCTATGACGAGCTTCTGTTTCACGTTTTCATAATATTCCGGCAGTAATTTCTTTTTCAATATTGTTGTATCAGGAATTTCATATCTACTATCGAGAGCATTTACAAAATCCCGAAATCCTTCATGTTCTCCTTTTCGCAAAGGTTCCATGTCAACAGCAATCATGCGCACGTATTTGTTATCCAAATTTTGCTTTGTTTTCCCATCTGGATATTTACTACTTCTATCAAAATAATTTTTTAGCGTATTTCTCTTTTTAGGGCTTGGGCCCATTTTCTCATTTTGCTCAGTGGTATCTACGTCTTGAGTAACAGAAACAGTGGATGACCACATCCATACCTCATTATGTTTTCTCTTCATATGATCGATCAAGTTCGTAGTATTTCCACTTAGTTTAAACTCTCTTTTACACAAAGAAAACTTGGCAAACTTTTCATTAGTCTTTTTGAAGTAATCCCACGCACGTGACTTACTACTCATGTTTTATTGTTTAATTCTAAATTGTTTGTTACTCCACTCAACTTCAAACATCCACAATAAAAAACTGACTGACTGACTTTTGTCTTGTAAATGAATGATATACGCACGGTAATTCCCCAACCATAGAGAAGAATCTCAATGTCTACGCCTTTGAATGTATGATATACGCACGGTAATTCCCCTACCATAGAGAACAATCTCAATGTCTATACCTTTGTCACTATAGCCGGGGAATAACTTACATACATGCATACCTCGACTCTAGGGATGTAAAAGTAGTACCCGAGTAAACAATCGATCGATAGTTTTAAAAACTATCGATAGTATCGATAGCCATTTACTATCGATACCATCGATAGTCTATCGATGTTTAACGTACACTAGTATATATACAGTAATCTATGGTCACAGTCAGTGTGCAGGGCGTGAATATAGTGCCTTTTAGATTGTTATGGAATAAAATAAATAAGTTTCGGCATGCAATATTCCTATTATACAATTAAGTAATTTGAAATGGCTGACGAAGCTATTTTTGACAAAAAGAAATCACATCACGCAAAACGTGCCGGTCGCAAAGCTGATAAAAAGAAGAAAAAGAATGAAGTCGACCAATCTAACCTAAGTGCGAGGCAAAGAAATCCTAAAGCTTTTGCTATACAGTCCGCTGTGAGAGCCGAAAGGCAATTTAGAAGACGTGAAGATGTTATCTCTAAAAAGCAGCACATACCCCAAGTGGATAAAACTCCCCTGGAGCCTCCACCGATTGTTGTTGCGATGGTCGGCCCTCCTCGTGTGGGCAAGACGACTTTGATAAACAATTTGATTAAAAGCTTTATAAAAACGAATGTCACCAGCACCAACGGTCCAATAACAATAGTGACATCCAAGAAGCGACGCCTTACAATAATTGAATGTAATAACGACATAAACTCAATGATTGATATCGCAAAATGCGCTGATTTAGTTCTATTGTTGTGTGACGCTAGTTTTGGTTTTGAGATGGAAATATTTGAATTTCTGAACATCTGCCAGGTGCATGGTATGCCAAAAGTAATGGGTGTTCTCACTCATCTTGATATGATTAAGAATGCAAAAACTTTGAAAACAACTAAAAAAACATTAAAGCATCGGTTTTGGACTGAAGTATACCCTGGTGCCAAATTGTTCTACCTCTCTGGAATTGTACATGGTGAATACTTGCGGAATGAGATAAAAAATTTATCAAGATTTATATCTGTGATGAAATTTAGGCCTTTGAGTTGGCGCACTACCCATGCTTATATTTTAGCTGACAGACTGGAGGATATAACAAGTCAAGAAACTATAAGGAAGGACCCTAAAGTAAACAGAGATGTAGTGCTGTATGGTTATGTCCGAGGGGTGCCATTAATGAAAGAGGCTATGGTGCATATTGCAGGTAAATGTTTAAAAGACTATGGTGTACTTTTATATTTTTAATTTTATGATTTTAATTTATTAACTATTACACTATTAACCTGTAAGCCAAGCCATGCGCACTTTTGATCGTACAATACCTACCGTACGTCCGCCAAGCAGTGATCTAATTTGATCAGAATTATGTAAACATGTGTACCTATGAAAAAACTATTTTTTCGTTTTAAACAAAACCAAAGACACTATGCAATAGATAATAGTATCAAAGACAAAGATATGCTCTTTTATTTTAAACCATAACCTGGCAATGTTTCTTAGAAAAAAAAAAAAAGAGATCACTCTGAACTTTCGGCGTTCCATGTGCCGTTTTGATGAAGGTGCTCTGTCTTTTTTATAGAATTTTATATTTGTGTCTGGACTAAAAACGAAAGTATTATACTTTTTTTGTATTCCTTGTAATATAGTGAACACATATATATATAATTTGTGGTATAAAAAAGTGAAAAGTAAATTGCCAAAAGTGCTTCAAAATCTGGAAGGCCCATTATGGCGGCTGGGTCATAAATGTGGTATTTTTCATATTCTCATTTATTTTTAGTGTAAAATGTAAGTAAAAATAGTTTTCTTACATATTTCAAATAACTTGACGTTGTATTTATTTCAAATTCACACAAAACTATTTTAGAAATATTGTTCTAAATGTCACACAGATAAAATATTATTATTTAATTTTTTTTAATTTCTTTATATTTTAATATTTTGGTATGAATAACGAATGGAAACACATAAAACATAAAAATATACATATTTCCAAACATTTTCATATAAATTTCTCTAAAAACAAAAGTGTAGAATTCAAATTAGTAGTAATTTTGTCACTAAAATTGAAGTATATACCACTATACAGCTATACAGGGTAATTTACGTATTTTATTACAATTTCTAGCAACCAAAAATAATTTTATTCGATAGTTTATACATTCAACAAGAATTCCTGTAAGTTTTATCCATAAATATTGTCTCAAAGTGAAAATATAGCAAAATTTGCTAATTTTCAAATTTTGCCGCCATTACGGTCCCGAGCGAACGGGATTATAACATGTCGCGCGCTGTCAGAGCTTACAGGTTAATTACTTTTAGTATATACAAATAATGTGAAGTAGGTTTTATGTTACATTACATTTATTACAGTTTAACAAAAACCCAATGCTGAACACAGGTTTCCCCTAAAGATTCATGTATGAGGCAACTTTTATAATAAAATCCCAGAAAATATACAAAATTGGGTTGGGTTTACAATTCGGTCACTGTAGGGGAGTCCCTAGTGACAGAATCTGTCAAATTCAGGATAAACCCCCTTGGTTTATCTGAAGCACCCCCATTCGATTTTTTCTGCTGGAGCAGCGTCGAAGTATTTTTTAATTATTTTTTAAAAATATTGGTAAATGACTAATTTAATTACGTTTTTGACGTTTCATCTGTCAATGTCATATCGATATATAGTACTGAATCGATCTAGTGAATCGATATTTCACCCTAGAGAATCGAGATCGAATCTTTTTCTGTTTTATTAAGATTTGTAAAATTATTTACAATTAATTGTATGTACCCCAACTCGTAAAGAATGACAGTTTTTAATTTAATTATTCAATGTCATTCTGTACTTTATTGTACTTTTGATATCGTAAATATAAACTTTTAACGCAAATCAAAAAAAGATTGATTTTTGCGAAATCGATCTTTAAGATTTCGATTTTTTGTGAATCGATTCATCTAATTTCGATTTGAATCCATTTAAAAATATGTAAAATTAAATCGCTATGGCTATGTTGGCCATTTTGTTAACAGCTTTTCCTCATGGCGTTGCTTCAGAGTTTCAGAATTTTGGTGAATAGTGAAATATTTGAATACTGCTAAATATCGCAAAGATCTTTTCTTACAAATGGTGGCAGCCATAAATTGTGTTTATAAATAAAAGTAGTTATGAAAGTTAATAATTTGGTGTTATATCGAGTGCAATAGCGAGCGAAGCGAGCCTGGGACGTGGAAGTCCGGTCGACGGAGCCCCGCAAAGCGGGACTTCCCTCGACTGCACCACGTTAAGTGGCGTGGGGCTTCCGTCTCCCAACTCTCTCTCCCCATAAATCAGGTTAAAATTGTCATAAAAATTACGAAACATAACCTCAAAATGAGATTTTTAAAAATTTATAAAAAAAAACTAAGCACATCCGGCAGAAAGTGGAAGTAGGGGGTGACTCTACAACTCCTCCCCCTCCCCCCACGCCACCCCCCACCCCCAAATTCAGGCGACCGAATTGTAAACCTTACCCACAAAATTTGTCTATAAACAAGTTTAAATGTTTCATTGAAGAAAAATTATACAAAAAGCATTATTATAATATCAAAAAATACACATATGAAAATAACCCCTGGTAATGAGACGACTGCCACTATGCTGATTTTATTAAAATTCATTTAAAAAATTGTGTAAAATTATTGTAAAGTAAAATATATTCTTAAAAAATCCTAGGATTTTTGCTGGTTCTTATTATTATTATTATTTATAGATATTTTCTGAACCAGGAGTAAATAAGAAAATGATTCAATAAGTACTATGTAATAAGAAATATTCTATTAAGAATCATTCTATTCTGTTCTAATGCCTCAAAAGGGTGATATGTGCCTTAGTCCAGTTTGGCAAGAGGCTATGTACCATTATGAATACATATAATTACAAGTCTCCTATATTATGTCTTGATTTAATTAAAAGGAAAGTAGGATGCAGATTCCTGTTTAGTGCTTATAATTTCTCATGCATTTTTCCTCAAAGCCCTGTGATTACGTCAGCATCTTATCTGAATTATGCCCGTTTGTTATGATCACAGAATATTTCGTTTTTAATAGCCTGTAGAATTAGATACAAATTACACATTCAAACAACTACACATAGTTATTGTTACACATATACAATACTTATTTTGCTTAACCATAATGTACATAAGATGTTATAAAATAATGCGAGTCCAGTGTTATGGACCCTATTGAGCATGTAATTTAAGGGCTACAGTATATAGTATAAGCTACATGTTAGACTTCTAAAGAAGATTTAAAAAGTACAGATGAAATGAGAATTTCAAGGAACACACTGTTAATCAAACGTTTGGTTACAATATTTTGGGATGTTTCTATATTTTTTTTATCTATTTAATAGCTCTTAAAGTTACAACTTTTTAAAAATACATAAAGTTTATAATAATTTCTGAATTATAGCTTCAGAATAATTTACTAATTCTGTACTTAAAACAATATGTTTTAAGTATAAAATTAGTAAATCCCTGGCTTCTGAAGTTATTTTGCATAAATTATTTTATACCTTTTGGTTATTTGAAGTTAGCATATACTTAGAGTTAAAAATCTAATTTCTTGATCCTAGGACTAAGGAACACATAAAGCTTCAATGTTATCTAAATAGTTGTATTAAAAGCTTCATATCTACTAGAGATTGGCCGAATATTTGTTTCATATTCGGTATTTGGCATATTCGGCAGCTTTACCGAATATTCGAATTCGGCTGAGTATTCGGCTAAGTCACCGAACATTCGGTAAAGTATTATACTCAGTGTCCACTGTATTGAAATGTACGAATTGAGTAATGCCATGTCTTTCATAGTTTTACTATCGAAAGTATATTTTATTTATGGGTTAAATCTACTTGTATAGCTTGAAGCGAGCGTCCATTAAGACATACTACAAGCCGCTGAAGAAGATTAGTCAATTTTTACCATCCATCAAATGTAATATTCCTCTACAAGATGCAGGTGTGTACAAGTTAGATTGTGAATGTGGTCTCTCGTACATAGGTCAAACAAAGAGATCTATAAAAACCCGCGTGAAGGAACATATAGTTGATGTGAAGCACCGACGCTCCGGGGAAGTCTGCAGTCTGCGAACATGTTCAAGATCGTCCCCACCATTACATTAGATTTGATAAACCACAAATTCTCGCAAAAGAACACCGATTCCTACCAAGGATGATACACGAGGCTATTGAAATTAAAAAACATCCAAATTTCAATAGAGAAGATGGTTGGGTGCTACCATCTGCTTGGGATCCTATAATTAACAAAATTAAACCCAAACCCAAGCATACCACTGCAAGACTTCATGATACTATAAGCTCGTTTTACGTAAATCGGACCAAAAATTAATATTAAAAAACTATGGTAGCCGGACTAACTATGACATTGGGACGTCAAACATCTCAGTCCCCCCGTGACCATGGGCGCTGTAAAGCACTCGAAACGTCGGGATAATAATAAAAATAAAAATAAATTAAAGTAATTAAACGTGTAGTGTTCGCGTAAATTTAAGAAATCTACTTGTATAGCGTTATGTTTTGAGGCACTGTAGATTTATTTCCAATTATAGCAAATAGAAAGCTTGATAAAATGTTTTTGGAATCAAACAAAGAAACATTACATTACATTAGTAAATTTCAATTTACTTTGGTTGTCAGCTTTTTTAAATAAATCCAAATAGAAGATCTCCTGTCACTCATTTTTATTAATTTTCACTAAAAATTACACTACGAACTTTTTTTGGACAAAAATAGTTTTAAAACATAAGTATGTGCGTCGGCAATTTGCTCAGTACAAAATGATATAAAGGCATGTCAGGTGTGGCGGGGGATTGAGTGCAGGGTCCGGCGGTAATCCCGCACGTTTTACGTTAACAAGTTTCGACAGAAATTGTTTAGATACCGAGGTGATCCTGCCGTATAAAGTTCAGCCGAATATTCGGTTCGGTAAAAGTTTTACCGAACGTTCGGCCAAATATTCGTATTCGGTGAAATCCATGTTCGGCCCATCCCTAATATCTACTAATTCTACCCTTAGGGGTAAAAATTCTTAAATTTATATGGGTAGCAATTGATAAAGATATTGACTAACATACTTTGAAAGAAAAACATACCCTCGAATTAAGAGATCCTCTTCCTTTCTTCAAAGTCTATGGCAAAACCTCTTTTTTGGTTGGCAATCTATGGGGGAGGCCTATGTTCAGCAGTGGACTTTTATAGGCTGTAATGAATGGTAATTGAATAACTTGTATGAATAAAGTAACTAGGCATTAGGAAAAGCAACAGTAACACTTGTGGTCTTCAATGTATAGAGGTTTAACCATCTTGTATTTACATCAAATATAGTTCTCAGGTCTGTGACAGCAGGTAATGTCTAAGCTGGTAATAATGATGATGTCAAAACCTCCTTGTGATAGGGAGCTTAATCTCTCAGTAGACTGTTTACAGGTTGATAACAACCAAAGAGAGGAGGATTTTCCTCATTGTTTTCCTTTACCGCTGCATGGCTTTTTTTATAAGATAAGATGACAAAAGAGCACACGGTCCACCTGATGGTAAGAGGTTGCTGTGGCTCTTAGACATCTACATCTATCCTGGATTACGAATCAAAATGCAGATGCGTTGCCACCCATGAGGACTAAGATGAAATGCCTCGCTTCCAGTAAAAGGGTCTCCGGTTCTCTACATTCACCATATGAAATACAGCAGCATTAAGCTACTATTTTACGATAGTATTCTGTGAGAGCATGGTCCTTCCCCTGACGAGCCAACCCATTTGTGCTACAACTATACTACTAATATAACTGCAGCATGGCTCTACCACATATATGTAGTAAATCAACACTTAAAATGGCAATCAACAGATTCAACCATGCTGTTCGAGATCAAACTCAGTAGTACGCTATTGTTAACTTTGATATAATGGCTTTAATCAAATTAATTCAGAACACCTGAAATATTTTTTTATTTGTATATTACTGAAATTTTGGAAGTGCATATATAAGTGAATATTCTTTTTTTTTAATAATAAATTAAATCACTTTTCAGGTGTTGGTGATATGAAGATAAATGAACTATCATACTTACCAGATCCTTGTCCATTGCCTAATAGTGAAAAGAAACGCCACCTTATGGAAAGAGAAAGACAGATTTATGCTCCATTTTCTGGTGTTGGGGGTATTGTATATGATAAAGATGCAGTTTATATTGAACTACATGGTTCCCATTCACATAAACAAGAAGATGAAGAAACTAATGAAAAGAAGGCTCTTCTTAAAAATGTTGTGGAAACTAAAGAGACAGTTGATGAACAAATGCAAGAGTCTGGATTTAAGCTTTTCAGTGGTGGGGCAGTTATATATCCTGATATGATAAAAGATGATGAATATTTGCAGCATATGAAAAGTAAAGATTCCGATCAATCAAGTGTGGATGAAGAGAGTGAATCCGAGAATGACAGTGGCATAGATCAGAGTGAGAAAGAAAACAAAGGAAAAATGAGTAAACTACCATGGGATAACAATTCAGCATCCGAAGCTGAGGATAATGAGGAACAAAAAGATAATAAAACTGATTCAGAAGATGATGAGGAAAAATCGAACCACAATGACAATTTTAGCATAAAATGGAAAGAGAAATTAGGTGAAAAAGCGACAATGGCATATTTTGAACGACAAAAAACTTCAAAAAATATAATGAAATTGGTTTATGGAGATTTTGAAATTGGCAATAAGAGTAAAGAACAGAATCAAAAAGAATTTGAAAGTGACAGTGAAGAAGAGGAAATTGGAGGTCTTTTTAAAAAGGTGACAAGTACTCAAAAGAAGAAACAAAAACAAAAAGACCAGAAAGATGTTGATGAGTGCTCATTTTTCTATTCATTAAACAAACCAAACTTAAGGGATTGGACAAGTGAACTAAACAAACAATACCTGATAAATAGCTTTGTTACTGGCAAAAGATCAGCCGATGAAGATGCATCTGAGCTTTTGAAATTAGATGATGCAAGTGATGATGAAGAAGAGCTTTATGGTGATTTTGAAGACTTGGAAACGGGTGAAAAACATGTCAGTGTGGAAAACACAGAAGCAATCAAAGAGGAAAGAGCTGGTACAAAACGTAAAGCTGAGCCAATAAAATCTGAAATTCTCGATAAGAAGTTAAAGTTGAAAGCTAAGTTTGACGCGGAATACGATAACCCAGATGATCATAGGATCAAAGGTGACCATTCTTATTACGAAAGTCTTAAGGCAGAAGCACTTAAACAGTCCGAGCTGAACAAATCTGTATTTGAAAATCTTGATTGTGGTTTAAGGGTTGAAGTTGAAGGCTTTAGACCTGGTTTGTATGTTAGAATGCTATTTAAGAATATGCCATCGGAGTTTGTAACCAATTTTGATTCAAGTTATCCAATACTTATTGGTGCTCTTAACATGGCGGAGCAAAATATAGGATTCGTATCATGTAAAGTTAAGAAGCACAGATGGTATAAGAAGATTCTTAAGACAAATGATCCTCTAATAATATCGTTGGGTTGGAGACGCTTTCAAACTCTACCAATTTACTCAAAAATAGAAGATGATTTAAAGTGTAGATATTTGAAATATACTCCAGAGCATGTGACATGTAACATGCATTTTTATGGTCCAATAACACCACAGAATACAGGTTTTCTAGCACTACAGACAGTTAATAATAATCCCAATGAAATAAAACAGCTAGGATTTAGAATAGCTGCTACAGGCAGTGTAAACGAAATCAATAAATCTACTCAAATAGTCAAAAAACTAAAGTTAGTTGGAACACCTCTAAAAATATACAAGAAGACTGCATTTATTAAAGACATGTTCACAAGTACCCTCGAGGTAGCAAAATTTGAGGGCGCTAGAGTAAAAACTGTATCTGGAATAAGAGGACAGATAAAAAAAGCGCTTAACAAACCTGAGGGCGCTTTCCGCGCCACTTTTGAAGACAAAATTTTAATGAGTGATATTGTTTTCTGTCGGACATGGTTTAAAGTTGACGTCACTAAATTTTATGCTCCAGTCGTTAACTTATTGTTGCCAGCTGGAAGTAAAAATGCGTGGCAAGGTATGAAGACAAAGGGACAATTGAAAAGGGAGCGGAATATACATATTGACGCTAATACTGATTCAATGTATACGAGCATCGACAGAGAACCTAAAGTATTCAAACCGTTGGTTATACCTAAAGCTTTACAAAAAGGATTACCATATAGATTTAAACCTAAAGAACGGAAAACAACGTTATCTGGAAAATCTCCTAAGAATATATTTAAAGACAGGATAGCCGTTATTAAGAGCCCACATGAGCAGAAGGTTTCCAACGTCATGAAGATGTTGAAGACAAACTATGAGCAAAAGAAAGAAAAGGAAAAAGAAGCTACAACTGAGAGACTGCAGAAACACAAAAAGCAAATAGAAGAAGAGGAGTGGCGAAAGTTAAAGCGGCAGAAGGAACTAAAGAAGAAAATATGTAGGCATTTGAGTAAAATGGCCAGTAAAAAGAAGCCACAAATGTAAATAAATAATACTAATGTTAAAAATAAATTTGACTTTTCATAATATTTTTTATGGACAGGCCTTCAGTGTTCTTGTATGCTCATACCTCAGAATAAATAATAGTATAAATACGGAAGGATCACGCTCTAATAGCAAACTTTGGAGTTTAAACCTAGTTACAACGTCGCTAATGTTCATAATACTTTGCACGCCTCGGAAGCGATCTTTGTGAAATTAGCATACCGATTAATTCGTCGAAAAAAATTTAATATCAAAATGCACCTTCCGTCCGCGTGCGAGTGTCTGTATCACTTAGCTCGTTACGCGCCTTTTTTAAGGTCGCTCCTGCTGTAGGATTATGTGTTGAAAGAAAACAAAATTGAATCCTTTGCATACATTGCTAATTTCCATGTACTAGTGATTTGCTGATAAAAATTAATTCAATGTGAGGATGGTTAATATGCAACATCGAGAAAAAATAAGATTATAACAACGTGAACGTCATTGAAACTCAGATAATATAAAGATAAAGCTAAAGATGATTTGCCTACTTACCATAATTTTCTGTTTCACATTTTTTGCACACAAACATGCCACTAGCGACAGCATTGTTAATGAAAGAGTAGCAATGAGAAGTACTGCTATTTTTACAATCTCTTAGGGGGCATCCATAAATTACGTGATATGTTTTTTTTTAATTTTCTGTCCCTCCCTCCCCCTGGTGAGATGTGAGATTTTATTCAACCCCCTCCCCCATCCCCCAATCTCACGTACGTGAGATTTTTTTAAAATGTGGGTTTCTTACGTAAACGCGTTGGATTGTTACTGTAAAAAAGAAAAAAAAAATTGCTTCGTGCTTTAGTTAATAGAGATTGGCCGAATATGGATTTCACCGAATACGAATATTCGGCCGAAAGTTCGGTAAAACTTTTACCGAACCGAATATTCGGCCGAACATTATTCGGCAGGTTTACCTCGGTATCTAACCAATTTATGTCGTAACTTGTTACAGTAAACCGCACGGGATTAGCGCGGGGGCCTGCCCCTCGCCACACCTGACATGTTATTGCATCTAGTATTGAGCAAATTGCCGATACATGCTTATGTTTTGACTATTTTAGTGAGAAAAAAGTATTTCGTTCTTGATAAAAATGAGTGGTAATAAATCTACTATTTGGACTTATTTTAGAGAAACTGACGATCAAAGTAAAGTGAAATGTACTAATGTAATGTAATGTTTCTTTGTTTGATTCCAAAAACATTTTATCAAGCTTTCTATTTGCTATAATTGGAAATAAATCTAGTGCCTCAAAAACATAATGCTATACAAGTATATTTAACCCATAAATAAAATATACTTTCAACAGTAAAATTAAGATAGACATGGCAATACTCAATTCATACATTTCAATACGGTGGACACTTTGAGTACCACTTTAACGAATGTTCGGTGATTTAGCCGAATATTCGGCCGAATACGAATATTCGGTAAAGCTGCCGAATACCGAATATAAAACGAATATTCGTCCCATCTATACTAGTTAAGACTTGCGGATCGCGGAGACATGCGCGGTCACAAGAGAGACTATTGGAACCAACATGTCCATATGATTTTCAGTAAAATTATCTGCTCCTTCAACTTCGTTCTGATCTAGCCACTCTTAACAACATAGGCGCTTGCTTGTGGGCTGCTCGCATGTGCTCTGCAGCTCTTGTATTGGATGCAAAGTAAATGCCGCATGTACTGCAGCATCTTTTCTCTAAATCATCACGTACACTTGGGCAATGGAGACCATAAGGCGTGCTGATGAAGGCATTCAGCGGCTGAATCGGGTTTACATTAAATGGGCCATAAATCGTAAACGGTAAGTTTTACAAAAAAGTTTACTGGAAACGAAATATTTTCTACAATAATGGTTTCTATAACTTTTGCCTTAAAGTGCATAGTTTCCGAGATATCGGCTGAAAACGTTTTTTCAAGATGGCGCTTGAAGCGCTACCTGGATCTGTCAGCATTTTGTGATTTTATACTGAGTAAGTGATCCTAAACCTTATAAAAAATAAATTTGGATCGGAAATTTAGTGCACAGTTAAATTCTATTTTTACTGTACTTTTTCATTAAATATTTTATTTATCAACAACGTCTTACAATCGTCGTTTCTCTAGCGCTCAAGTGATCTTCATACAAATAATTCGATATTTTAATTGTTGATAATTTTTATTTTTGGATAAATATATTTTAATATTCTAAGTTTAAAAAAAATGTCTTTGGCCCATTGAGCTATAATGTACTACGTACTAGAGGCGACACTGCATTCAGCTACTCTGTTCCACTCAACTGCGGTGCATGCACCGCACTTTAATCAGTCACTTGCTAGGCGCTTGTAGGGTTGTCACGTGTTGTGTTATTTAAAAAAAATCTCTTGATAAAAATATGCCGTCGTATATACTTAGATATTGCGCAAATAATTCAAGAAATGTCAGTAATAACCAAGGTATTACTTTTCATCGGTTAATAAGATACTTAATGAATAAAAAAGTATTATAAGTTAATAATAAAAACAAGTTATTCCTAAGACGCCATCTTGTGTCATGTAATATAGATTACGGAATTAATTTGTTCAGATGCGATATTTCTGTGGGTACTTAAGTATAGGACGAATATATTATTATACACAATTTTTTTTTGTAGAGACATATATGAGATCATAATTGGGCCAATTTTTATATTTAAATCTGCTCGTTATTCTTTTATATTAAGTCAAAGGGGAATAAATTCGTCCATTTTTAACTCTCGCCTGCCCAGCATTTATGAACGACTCTTATTCTAATTTAAATTTTATATTAATAAGTTTTGTTAAACATACATTTAGTATGTTTTTATATTTGACATAGATACCTTTTAAAATATTCAGATAAAAAATCATTAATATTATGTAATATAATATTAAATAAGCAAATATAATATACAAAATAAATGACAAAATTTGAAAATTGTTCTCGATATAATTTACCTATTTAACAATACAATCTATTATGACCAATTACCTACTGATTATTCTACCTATGTTTATTCTATGATAAAAAAAAACCAACCGCGCGAACACAGAGTAGCGCACATGTTTTGTTTGAAATAGCTGTTCTAGTACGTAAGTACATATTACTTTAATGCTTTGGCCAAACCTGCTATACTCTTTGGCTTGACCATAGGTTTGACTAATTGGTTTAAGGGTCCACTAGTCGCTTATTCTTCCATACAAACGTAGTCTGGCGATTATTCCACTGTTTGATGGTGTACGTTCAAAAAAAATGATTTCAATTTGTCTCATCATTATCTAGCCCTGTATGGAAACAAAAAAGTAAAAAAAGAGTGTGTTTAAAAGTTATAAGCGTTGAAAATTCCAAATTTCAACACTAGTTTTAACACATCTTTGGGCGGAAATAAATACCATAAGAAGAACGAAAATTGCAAAACAGTTACCATACAGTGATAGATTATTTGTTCAAAAATGCAAATAATTTTATTTTAAACAGATACATTCAATGGATTTTTCATGACATCCAGACTCCCAAAGGTCTGTTTGTAAAATTTCGCGCGCTCCTTTTTGTTGTAAATCATCTTGCCTTTCGCTACAAATTGTTTCCCCGATCAGTGGGACGGACGGAGGGGGGGGGGGGCGCAGCGCGCACTCACACATGCTCACTAGGTTAGCCGCTGCCTTTGAGTATTAAACCAAGAATACTGAAAGGCCGCTGCTATCATTTTGTAATACCACATATCTACATCTTTATTTAGAAAAATTGCTTCCTTTTGTTCGTGTCCATTGCTGAAGCCGGGATGAATATAGCTGCTAAAATGTGCCCATAAGTTTGTTGAAGCACATTTAGTTAAAATTGAAAACAGGTAGGTACATAATAATGAACTTTCGATACAGGCAGTACATTAGGTACTTAACTACTTTAATTTGCTAACTAACAAAAACATCTCATAGATAAGCACGATTATCGAAAATCTTAAAATTGTCTATTAATTTAATTAGAATAGGTAATTTTTAGATTTTCGATAATCGTGCTTACGTATAGGAATCTCATATCCTAATATACCTAATGTAATTTATGTAAGTACATAAGAATCTAAGAAGGGCAGTCAATGATAAATAAAATTTGTTTCGTAAGTTGTTTTTTTTTAAAACACTTTAACACAACAAAAACATGAAACCGAGAAGAAGCACCCGATCTGCCGAAACAAACTCAGAGAGGTCAGTCCAGGTATTACATTGGTCATGTCATACGAGAACCAGGCTAATATGGTCCTTTGAAGAAAGAATCATACAGATGTGAGTGGACAACTAAGTACTTTACATAATATTATGTAATGCGTTTTGAATAGTATGAATAAATAAGTTAGTTTTTCTTTCTCTCGCGGCTCTACCTATAGCTCTCACCACACTACAAAAGGTTAGCTGGCAGAGAATGCCTTTTCGGCATTAAGTTCGCCTTTGTACCAAATTGTTTTTTTTTTGAGTGCAATAAAGAATTTTCTATCTATCTATCTACTTTTTAGGATTCCGTACCCGAAGGGTAATAACCAGCAGGGCCCTATTACGGAGCCTCCGCTGTCCGTGTGTCTGTCTGTCAGCAGGCTGCATCTCATGATCCGTAATAGGTAGATGGTTGTAATTTTCACAGAACGTGTATTTCTGTTGCTGCTATAACAGCAAATATTAAAAACATACCATATAAAACATAAACACTCACGCCTGTCACCCAGAGGGGTAGGCAGAGACTACGGACTTCCATTTGGCACGATCCTGACATACCTCTTTCGCCTCCTTTACATCCATATATCTATCTACGCATACATGCTCGTCGGTTAAGGGTACTTCTAACGTGGCCCATTTTCAAAATATCGCCAATTTGGTCGATAAACTTTTTCTAGGGCGTCACTTCCCGACTCTGCCGTTCACATCTGCCATATGAATTAGCTTTGTCACTCTTTCCTCATTCATTCTTTCTACATGAGCAAACCACAGAAGCATTCCTTTCCTAATCCTGGTCACAAATAAGTAGGATTTTCTCCTGTATCGTGGAGTCAGTTTACAAACATAAATTGAACAAGGACAAACATCCAGACACGGAACAACTATTTGTAGTCCATACAAATATTTGTTCCGTGCGGGATTCGAACCCGCGGCCCCCAGCGCAGCCTCATTGCTAAGCCACTGCGTATATATATAGTCTTCCTGACAACCCATCACTACTTACCCCATAATTAAAGGTTACATTGGAGTAAAATGTTCACCAAAATATAATATCTTGCGTTCATAATTGGCAGCTGGATATAATTGATAGAATCAGGCGTTACTTTGCGGAAATCCATTATAATAAAAAATAAAAATATAAATTTCTTTGCAACTTTCCGCTAAACATATAAAATGATGTGTCTTACCTGGAATGAAGCGCACCTCCCGCCCTCCCTCAATTGCATACACTAACTTCGTCACCACTATACCAAGCACCACTACTCTCAACACCACTATTCCAGGCAAGACACACCATCGACGATAATACGACACGTGTTTCGCCTCTACACGAGGCATCATCAGGTAATATAGACTCTACGGCGGCTGACCGCTAAGTAGTAATCTTAAGCGGAAAGTTGCAAAGAAATTTATATTTTTATTTTTTATTAGCTGGATATAAGTTCTGCGCTCACTCAACTGTAAGGCATTTATGTGAGGCCCGAGGTTTCGAGTCAAAACAATGTTTTTCAATTCAGGGCGACATGGGCGCATCATGGGCACATCATGCGCGACGACGCGGTAAGACATGCAGTAAGTAGATGGTTTCAGGTGGGTCAAGACCGTGTTTTAATGCACTCCTTGAGGGACGCCTATGTTCACCAATGGACTTGTGAAGGGCTGATAATATTATGATGCCCATGTATCTGATAGTATTCTTATTTATATGAATGTGCTTTTAGTTCTATCATCATCATAATGACAGTCCTTTACAAGTCCACTGCTGAACCTAGGCCTAACCCAAGAAATGCCACAAGCCACGGTCCTGGCCACCGGAATCCATCAAATTTCTGCATATCTTAGCAGTTCGTAAGTCCATCTAGTGGGATGCCGCCGTACACTTCTTAAGTTCTATAATTTTATAAACTTGTATTAAATGTACACACGATTGTTTATTAAATCCTTTGCACGCCAAGCTATAGGCGCTTAAGTGATCATCCTAAACTCCACGATTAAAACTACGGGGTTAAATGTTATGAATAAAAAAAAGCACCTGGCTATAGTTGTTTACCATAACGACCCACATCACGTTTTTACGTGGTAGAGCCATGCCGCAGCTATATTAATTGTAGGTATAGTTGTAGCACGAATGGGTCGGCTCGACCGGGGAAGGACCACACTCTCACATAATACCAGCGTCAAATAGCAGTTTAATGCTGCTGTGTTTCGTATGGTGAGTGTAGGCAACCGGAGACGCTTTATACTGGAAAAGAGGTATTCCATCTTAGTCCTCAAGGCTGACAACGCATCTGCATTTTGATTCGCTAACAACGCATCTGCATTTTGATTCGCTAACGAGGAGAGATGTAGATATCTATGGGCCACAGCAACCACTTACCATTAGGTGAACTGTGTGCTCGCTTGTCACCCTTTTATACATACATACATAAACACTCACGCCTGTCACCCAGAGGGGTAGGCAAAGACTACAGACTTCCATTTGGCACGATCTTGACACACCTCTCTCGCTTCCTTCACATCCATACACCTACGCATACATGCTCGTCGGTTAAGGGTACTCCTAATTTGGCCCATTTTCAATAAATCGCCTATTTAGTCGATAATTTCGGGGGGATGAGTCGTTCGCGTCCGTAGGCTTCGACCACCAAACCTTAGGCCCACCCTACACGTGTCCCCCGCGTGGTGCTAAACGAGCGACAAAGCCGAAAAAAAATAGACTAGGCTTCCCGCCGTGTGGTAGCGGCGTAAAATCTACCACCACCCCTTGTTCGCACCATGAGTCAGGAGATAAAAGAAATGGCCCCGAGTTCCCGGCGCCCCTTTAATGGGGCAGGGGTGCGAAGAATCTCCGGGAGGAAAAACCGGCGACGAGGTTCGCCACCCGTCACGTTCTGTCTCCCGGAGGGGCGAAAAGTGGATTGCGGAAGCCCGTCTGGCTACGCTGAATGTATGTGGAGCAATGAATGATAAGATGGATGAAGTATGCGAAATGATGAATGACAGAGGAATAGATGTGTAAATGAGACGAAACGAAAGGGAAAGGATGCCACTGCACATGGCACGTATACCGCGTATTGGTCTGGTGTAGACGAGACCGAACGGGCATGCCAGGGAGTCGGTTTCATCCTTTCAGAAAGAATGGGTCAATGTGTGAGAGTATGAATGTGTAAGCCCGAGGCTGCTATGGATACGAATGAAAGTGGGCTTAAAGAAGCTGTTCTTGCTAGGGGTGTACGCCCCAGACATGTCTAAGCCCACTTACATCCGAGAGCAGTTTTGAGACATGGTGAGGATGGTGTTTACAAAATGTAAGGAAAATGAAAATATTATTATGTTAGGAGACTTTAATGGAAGGGTTGGGGTGAAGAGGTCTGGTTATGAAAGGATATTGGGAACGTTTGGTGATGAAAGTATAAATGAGAATGGTGAAGACCTCCTCACCGTATGTGTTGAAAAGAATCTCTTTGTGACGAATACTTTTTTTCGTCATAAGAAGATTCACATGTATACATGGGAAAGAGGTGATGATTGAAGCATGATAGATTTCGTAATTGTGGATGAAAAAATGAGGAGCGCAGTCGTAGAAACAAGGGTTTACCGGGGGTCCAACGTAGGGACGGATCATTACTTGGTCTTATGTCGAATTAATGGTCTTTTCAAGCGTTGGCGGCATCGGACATCTGTGTCTACCACTGCGTTACAGCGTATAAGAATAGAGAAGTTACAAGATGAAGATGTGAAAGAGAAGTATAAATGTGGACTGAGAGGAAGTATTAGGTGTTTGAATGAGTTTTGTATGAATGATTTAGACTTGAATACTGTGTGGGATAATATTAAGAAAGGTTTGGTGGATGCAGCCACCGAAGTATGTGGTGGGATGATGAGGTGCGGGTGGAAGTTGAATCAAAGAAGAAAGCATGGTTAGATTTACTAGCAACTGAAACTGGTAATTCTGGTGGTATGAATGATGAGATTGAAAGAAAAAAGGCAGAATTTAGACGTCTAAATAAGAGAGTAAAAGAAGTAGTTGAAAGGAAAAAGAAAGAAAGAACGGATAAGAATGATAGAAGGATATCTGATAATTTCCAGGCTAATATAAAAATGTTTTGGAAACTCGTAAGAACTGCCAGGGGAAATACAAAACAGCCTATAATTAATGCTATAAGAGACGAGAATTGATGTATTCTGAATGATGAAGTTTCGATTTAAACAGATGGAAGTAATACTTTGAAAGCGTGTTTATGATTGAAGTGTCGTCTGAATTAAATGAACAAGAAATTCCGAAAGAAGTGAAAAGGGGGTATGGAGATAAGTGTAGATGAAATAATGAAAGCAATGAAAAGCATGAAAGCAGGTAAGGCAGCTGGATATGATAGAGTATCACTCGAGATGCTAAGGGCTGGAGAGGGAGTGGTGGCAGGCCTGCTGTACACCTTGTTTAATTTATGTTGGGAATTAAAACGGGTACCAGATGACTGGTGTAAAGCAGTTATAGTACCAATATATAAAGGAAAAGGGTCACAGCAGGACTGCAAAAACTACCGTGGTATCAGCTTGCTTAGTATTGTGGGTAAACTGTATGCTAAGGTGTTAATTGAAAGAGTTATGAAAGAAACTGATGGAAAAATTTGGGATGTGCAAGCGGGTTTTAGAAAGGGAATGGGGTGTACAGATCAAGTCTTTTCCATGCGCATGATTGCGGAGAAGTTTTTGACTAAAAACCAGAAAGTTTTTTGTGCGTTCATGGACTTGGAAAAGGCTTATGACAGAGTGGACAGGAATGTGTTATGGCAAACACTGAACTCATATGGGTTGAGCGCTGGTTTGATACAGGCATTGAGGTCTCTTTATAGGAACTCTAGTGCTTGTGTCAGGATCAATGGGGTCTACTCGGACTGGTTTGGCATCCGAAAGGGTGTCAGTCAGGGCTGTGTGGCTTCCCCTTGGCTGTTCAACCTATTTATGGACAGTTGTTTGCAAACTTTGAAAGATGAAGAATGTGGGTTAAGAATGGGCGAGTTAACCGTCAAATGCCTTTTGTATGCCGATGATCAAGTCATATTTGCGTCATCGGCGGCTGAGTTGCAAATGATGGTTACATCAATGAACTGGGCATTAAAAGAAAGGGGAATAAAAGTGAACGCAAGTAAGACGAAAGTGATGGTTTTTGAAAGAGAGGAAAGCAAAACGGTATGTGAAATAAGAATAGAAGGAGAGTTAATTGAACAAGTGGATGAGTTTGTGTCTTTGGGATGTGTATTTAGCAGGGATGGTAGATATGATAAGGATATAGAACGACGAGTAAATGCAGGCAATAGAGTGAATGGGGCACTACACTCTATTGTGAAGAACCAGAATGTATCAAAAAAGGCACGTATGGTAATTCATAATGCTGTGTTAGTCCCTACTTTAATGTATGGTAGTGAAAGCTGGGTGTGGTAGAAGAAGCACGAAAGTAGAATAAATGCTGTAGAAATGCGGTCTTTAAGGAGTATGCTAGGGTTGAATCTGAATGACAGGATGAGAAATTGCATGATAAGAGATAAATGTGGTATGCAAGATGATGTTGTGACCAGGATTAAGAAAGGAATGCTTCGGTGGTTTGGTCATGTAGAAAGAATGAATGAGGAAAGAGTGACAAAACAAATTTATATGGCAGATGTGAACGGCAGAGTCGGGAAGGGACGCCCTAGAAAAAAGTTTATCGACCAAATTGGCGATATTTTGAAAATGGGCCACGTTAAAAGTACCCTTAACCGACGAGCATGTATGCGTAGATATATGGATGTAAAGGAGGCGAAAGAGGTATGTCAGGATCGTGTCAAATGGAAGTCCGTGGTCTCTGCCTACCCCTCTGGGTGACAGGCGTGAGTGTTTATGCTTATGCTATGCTAAATTTTCGCCTAGGGCGTCCCTTTTCGACTCTGCCATTCACTTCTGCAACATAAATTTTCTTTGTCACTCTTTCCTCATTCATTCTTTCCACATGACCAAACCACCGTAGCATTCCTTTCTTAATCCTGGTCACAACATCATCTTGCAAACCACACTCTTCTCTTATTACAAACTTCTTACCCTGTCATTCAGATTCAGCCCTAACATACTCCTTAACGACCGCATTTCTACTGCGTTCATTCTACTCTCGTGCTTTTTCTTTTGATGTTTTTTTACTATAAAAAAACATCAAAAGAAATGAGAGTAATAGGTTCTATTAATTACAAACAATATTTTAACTTACTTTATTACGACTTCGTACGCGGATCCTGTTGCTTATGCCAGCGACAACGGGGTCGTCAAAATTGAAGATCTGAAACGTCTGATGTCGAATTCTAAGAGCCCGGGGACGGGAAAACAACGTGATGCGCGAGACGATTCGAGACGTTCAAACAACTAAACAATTGTGCTAAGACGTCATTCCTATATATGTTATAATGTCGCTGTGCTTTGGAGTTCCACAACAGGTGTTCCAGATCTTCAAATTTATTCTCACAGTAGAAAATACTTATATGTCTTATACTTCAGCTGGTCTGTTGCGGTTCTGCATCAGGTGTTCCATTTTCCAAAATAAATTATAGCCTATATGTTGCCTAGACTTAACACCTATACAACAAACAACTTTTCATCCCGTACATTTCACCGATCCGGTGGCGGAATGCACCGGATCCCAAGGGTACACTGAATTAACAATAATATTGCAAATAACTTTAAAAAAATTCTTTATAAACTATAGTTGTACCCGTGGCTTTGCCCACGTATCGCACAAGTATTTTTTTATTCTATTTTTATTTTAATAATAGTTAACACTCAAAAGACGCGTTCCATACTATACTAAAGCTTAGAAGAAGAAGCTTACCTCAAAAACTAGCTTAGTAAACTCAAAATTTTAAAGTTGTGTAGTTAATTTACTGGTAAGAGACGTCAGGTTAATAAGGAAATTTTGGAGAAGTCGAATAACAGAAGGGTTATAATTTACTGTAACACTTCTGTGTAAACAACGTTCGTTGTTTTTCCCTCGGTCTCATTCAATATGTACAGCGAGTCAGGACTGGTGACGCGGGGCAAGCGATGTACAGTTGTCCGTGTGAGAAGCAGCTCGTCTTGAGGTCGACACCCGCAGTCTCCAGTGTCTGCCCCTGCGACTTATTTATTGTCATGGCGAAGCACACGCTCACAGGAAACTGCACGCGCTTTAATTGAAAGGGATAATTGTGGGGAATCAGTGGTATACGTGGTATAAACACTGTTTCGCCAACACCACAACCCGTTAGAATTTCCGCCTCAATGATATTTCTCTGCAGCGAGACGACTTTCAGCCGGGTCCCATTGCACAGTTTCGGCGGAATGAGATTCCGAAGAAGCATAATTGGGACACCGACCTTTAGCTTAATGGTGTGCGCTGGTAGTACACTTGCACTGAGGGAATTGAGAAATTCTACGGGTTAATGTGTGGCGTCATCTTGGTCGACCACAGTGTTTATTGAAGTGTAGATCACTTCATTTCCCTCAATTTCCGCGAGAATGCATTCATTGATCGCTGAAGCTTGGTCTTTTTTGGGTGTTAAAATGGCTCGTTCACACACCCAAGAATTATCTTGGTGCGGTATCATATTGATGTCCCCCAGGCGCATCAAATCCTTTAAGGTGGACACCACTCTCCCAAGTATCTCAGGTGAGATACTTGGGAGAGTGGTGGTACCTAGAACCACCTGGCCACCGTCTACTGGTAGCGATCCCTCACCCAATTTTAAGAGGAACATCAGAAAATTCTTGGGCGTGTACATTCCCGCCAAGCTGTGCTCTCATATTCATCGTTAAGCGCAACCTATGAATATGTGGCCATAAGAAAGAGCATTTCAACGAAGCATTCACTTCATCAGCCCTAGTTCCTCGCGTCACCACAGGCAGCGTTTGTCGGAAATCGCCGCTAAACAGGAATGTAACGCCACCCATCATTTGCTGGTTCATGCGGATGTCCAGCAAAGTCCTGTTTACCACCTCTACTGCTTTTCTGTTTTTATCTCTTTCTAAAAGGCATAGCTAAAATCCGTTCTTAATCCGATACTAACTTACGAAACTACATATTATTTACCCAAATGAATTAATTAAATTATGAATTAAAACTAAATTGTCCTTAATTTAACAGATAACAGACACAAAAAAGTACATTATTTTTGCATTAAAAATGTGGTAACAGCAGCAAGGAACAAAACTAAGAATTACGTACTCAAATCAATTACCTGCAACAAATGTGCTTGATAAGATATAACTTAGAACCAAAAGTTTGACTTGACTTCATGATAGTGTAACTTGTTGTACCACCAATCGATCTGTTTAGTAATATTGGTGTGACACTCTCCATACAATTAGATAGGACATGTAAAGTTCCTAATGCACATAAAAAATGCAAAAATTAAAAAAAAAATAAGATTTTTCAAAACAATATTATGGGATTTAAACTCGCACCATTTAATGCGGTAAACGGTCACCTGATCTTACCGTTAAATTCCCCGTTGACATATTGTTAAACAGCTGTTCCATTGCAATTTGAAATATTACGGCCCCGCTCCTTTATAAAAATAGCGTTAGATTTTTATTTTTATTTTAACCAATAACATGTCATTTTGTGCATTCAATTATTTTGTGAATTCAATTACTAAGAAAAACCTTTTAAAATCAATATTGCTTACCTCCTATAACATACGCGGTGATAATATGTAGCCTATATATTCAGTAATCTATGACGTAGCCTGAAGCCTTCCTCGGTTTACAAACAACATTTTCGCTGAATTTCAATTCAATCTATCCAGTAGTTTTGGCGTGAAGCCGTACCATACGCACAGACAAACAGACAAAAATTCTAAAAAGTCACTGTTTGTCATCAGTTACGTTTTTCTAACAAAAGCCACTTATTTTTCCTCGAAAATTCTCAATGTACAGTTTTCTTTCGTTACTGTTTTATTATATGTGTAGATAATGATATAGAATTGCCGATTCCGTTTAAACAATAGTGATTACTTACACATTCTTTGTTGCTTAGGTAACGCAGTGGAAGTGTATAAAGAGTATATAATCACTACGTGAAGTATTAAAACGAAAAGATTATATACTACATGTAGTATATTTTTAAAAGCTTAAGTTTCGGACACATTTGTTAAATATTTGGGCTTCAGACAAATCAGGTTTATTTACTCTGTCACACATGTCCAAGGTGGAGACAGCATTGTCGAACTTCGCTGAACACATTTCTTCAGCTCAGGTACAAAATTCACCTTGACTTTTTACTTACAAACCTTTTTATATCCCGTCGCCATTATCCGCCAATTAAATCCAGTAAAGTCGAAGGAATTGCTGCAATTCGTTAGTACTGGCTTATCTTTTAGACAATCTTGACGACACATATACAATATGAAAGTAGTAACGGATTCTTGTCTATAGCCACTTGCCAAGCGTGGCAACTATGCACTGCTCAAAGCTGTAATGATAAAAATATAGTAGATGACGAAAAACACAACTCCTTGCTGCTTTAAACATTTACAACTTACTATCCTTTTTTAATTTTATAGGAGTTATCACGTCTACATATATATTTTTAGAATTATAGTATTTGTATCCCTACATAGTAGGATATCATATTATAGTAGCAGCCACAAGACAAGACAAGTCAATTCATAGAAATCAAGCACTTCTAGAAGGGAATACCGTGAGGAAATCTGCATAAAGTTAGCCCACACACTATGCGGCAGCGAGCGGAACTTCTTACACATTAAAGTGTCCTTTGCTCAGTTTTACGTATATGTATACCTGGGTCGAATATGGCCAGCCGAAAAATATGGCCACTCACTACTACATAGAAAACCGCACGACAAACGGAGTCGGTTATGTTCGGAACCCGCTGCGCCTCCCGCGCGAACGCCAGTAGCGAAAAAGACGAAATAACGGACGCTTGTGTTGCTGCTTTAATTTTTTTTTGCGAGTTTTGCTATATATTTCAGTGTTTTATTAGTTTAACTAAGTTGATATCGTCTTATCACGCATTTTAGTAAATGAGTTTGACATCCAGGTATGGTCTTATTGAATTATTTTACGCGTTTTTTACAAGCATGGGATTGAAAGAAACAGTGGCGTGGCTGAAAATATGGCCATTGACTGGCCATATTTTCTATATAGACTTTGATGTACTGATAATTAAGTACTTAGGAAGGTAATTATCCGCTTATTGTTGCTTCAGGTGATGGCGCGATACAAATGCAAAGGCATTCGAGGTAATTGGGTGGAAGATGATATGAAGTTCGCTATGTCTGCTGTAAAGAGAGGGGTTATGAGAGTGAACACAGCTGCAAAGAGGTTTAATGTACCAAGGCGGACTCTGAGACGATATTTGGCAGAAAACAAAAACACTAAATCCACCTTGGGTAGAAAACCATTGTTAAATTCGGATCAAGAAAACGATTTGAAATCCCGCATTATCCGACTTTGCAGCGTTGGTTACCCACTAACACAGCGTGTATTACGTTCATGTGTTAAAACGTTCTGTAATGAACATAACATTTTATCCAAAAGTCAAGGAGTTATGATTGGACGAGATTGGTTGAGGAGATTTTTAAGACGGCACCCTAATATTAGTAAACGTAAAGCCCAAAATTTAAATCCCGCCAGAACTCAAAAGCTTAATAAGGCAGTAGTGTCTGATTACTTTGCGAAATTAAAGGATTTAATGAAAAAATAAGACTTAATGAAGAAACCAGAACGAATTTATAATATTGATGAAAAAGGTTGTCAATTAAATTTACACAAAACTCCACAAGTTCTAGCAGAACGCGGTACAAAGAGAGTACACATAGTGGCAGCTGAGCTGAGCAGCTGTCTTGTGGTAATGCATTAGGGCACGCGATACCACCCATGATTTTATTCAAGGGGAAAAGGATGAAAGGAGAATGGCTCGATTCGTTACCTACCGGTGCTGTAGCTCAGATGACTCCCAAAGGAAGCATGACCACCGACGCTTTTGTGAATTGGATACATCACTTTTCAAAATTCAAATTACCAGGAAATGTGCTTCTTATATTCGATGGTGCAAAGTGCCATTTGGATTACTCTATTGTGGAGACAGCTGAAAAATATGAAATCAAGCTTTTCTGCTTGCCCAGTAATACGACCCACGAGCTTCAGCCTATGGATAAAAGCGTATTTAGGTCGTTTGAATATTACTGGGATGAGGAACTGGTCTCTGCATGAAGACAGAAAAATCACCAAACAAAGATTTGGAGTCATATTTAGTAAAGTGTGGGATAAAGCTGCAACACCAGTAAACATCAAAGCTGGATTTGAGGCTACAGGGATCTACCCATTCAATCCAGATCGGATCCCAGAGGAAGCATATGCTCTAAGTATTCCTACTTATAACCCCATGCCAATTGTTGATAATAAGGACACTGACACTGATGTTAGTGAAAGTCTCCTTCATGAGGCTGCTTCAAATATAAGTGCAATTAATACACCTGTTCAGCAATTGACTTTAAGCGATAATAACTTTAATTCTCTTTCCGCTTCTACAGAGCAGATTGGAAATTCTGCCACTACCCCGAGTCAAAATATTACCGTTTGTAATGAACCGAAAAAATCTTTCTATGATTTGTTGAAAACTCCTGAAAAAAGTGCAAAACGTCTCGAAATGGCTCCTAGAAAAAAAACGATCAATAATTTAGCTCAAGAACTTAAAAAATCAATTTTCCCTGAAAAGAAAAATATTTTAGGACCATCAAACAGTATTACAAAACGTTCAGAAAAAAGGAAGGAATTAACGCAAAAACACAAAAAAAAGCAAGTTGACAAACAGCATAAGTCAAAAAAATGTACTGAATCATGGTAGTTTCGTTTGTGGAGAAGACAGGGTAGCAGATATGAGACCGTGTTTTATCTGTGAAACTTACGTCCATGAATAATGCGTAAGACTAACTGCAGTAGACAAAGACCAGTATAATAATTATAATAATTGCATTAAGTATAATAACGATTGAATTAAAAAATGTGTTTGCCTTTTGTTCCATTAATATTCTTTTTTATATATAAAAAAAAAACATTAGCTGCTTATGACTGACTGAAATTAATCTTGAATCTCAAAATGTGCCATAAGTCATTCTTTTTATTGTTGATTGTGTCTAAAACTCTTTATTTGATCTAAAAGCATTGCTATATAATGTAACATAATTGACGTTTTTTCTTTATAATTATGTTTTGCCAGTTACTTCTATTTAAGACTGAAATATTATTATAGAATTCAGAATATGCCACTTACTATTACTTTAATAATAATCCTACTTATTGTTAGTATTGTTAGCTGTAATGTTACTTAATTGTTAAATTTGTTTTAGTCTTTTTCCTTTTGGTTCACCTGCAATATTTAAACAAGTAGATATTATTATTAATTAATTATAAATAATTATGGATCTCAATATATTCCAAAAAATTACGTACTTTTAAAGTTGTTTGAGTTATATTGTTAATTGTGCATTCATTTAATATCAACGTTTTTATTTGATTTAATGCGCAGCTTCTTTTTCTTGAAAACTTGATTGTTTTTTGTTATATTATTATGTCATTTCTTACCGTAAGTGACATTCTAGTCTTGAACTCAGAATGTGCCATTACCATTATTATGAATAAAAAAAATGAATAAAAATATTTTTTTCATTGTTTCCTTATCAAAAAATCCAAATATAGAGATAGTGTTTCAGTTAAACCTATAATTTTAACTGACACACTATGCCTATATTATATAGTAAATATGGCCATTTTTATACAAAGTACAAAAATGACCATATTCGACCGCTAAAATAGCAATAGTGAAAATATGGCCATGTTAATGTCCATATTAACCTACACCGGCGAAAATATGGCCATTTTCCGTTTTTTTTAAAAAAGAGAACATAACTTTTAATTTTTAATACATTTGCCAGATTTTTGCTTACGACATGAAAACTAGATATATAATTATTAATATAATGTGCAAAAGATTGTTTAAAAACCTTCGAAAATATGAAAAACTGTGTATCAAACCTTAAGGTGGCCATATTCGACCCAGGTACTTATATGCTGGAATATATATATATATATATATATATATATATATATATATATATATATATATATATATATATATAGTTCTAATTTAACTGCCTTGTTGGTCTAGCGGTTGTAGTAGTGCGACTGCTGATCATGAGGTCCTGGGTTCGAATCCGGGATCGGGCCAAAAAATCAATTATTGAGTTTTTCTGTCAAGAAATTCTCAGTAACTGCCCGGCGTTAGCGGTGTCTCACCCCCGTACCTCGGAAAGCACGTAAAGTCGTTGGTCCTGCGCCTAATCTCTCTCCCGGTCGTGTCGGTTTACCGTCCTATCGGATTATGAGAGTGAGGGAATAGAGAGTGCACCTGTACTTGCGCATACACTTGGGCACTATAATCCTGTCCTGCGCCGATGGCTAATTTCCGTTGAGGCAGGCCGCTGTGGCCGAAATTCGGTCCGGAGGACATTATTATATGCTGGAACTTATTAAGTCGCATGCAGCGTGCAAGTGGTGACGGTATTTGGCGAAAAGTTTCAACAAATCCTCCAGTACTTTTTGTAGTGGAATAGTACAATTAGTGGGTATTTTGTGAAGTCGTGGTTCTACTCGAACGAGTCAACCCATTCGTGTTCCTGTATCACGTAAAGTGGGTCGTTACTCACAAAAATGTAATACTATACAGTATATTTAATTCTTTGTACTTATACAAGTACAAAGAATTAAATATAAAATTAAATACCACAGTCGGTTCTATCTTCTTATCTAAACCTGCTGCCAAATAGCAGTTCGTTCAGTGCTGTATTCCGGTCTCTAGAGTGCTAGTGTAATTACAGGCTGTAGGGCATTTCGTCTTTGTCCTCAGATGTGACAACGTGGTATCCCCACCTACCATCAAGTAGTCTTTGTTCGTTTAACAGTTCAATTTTTTGCAACCATAATACGCTGCAGCGGAATTGACAAATAGAAAACCCTTCACAGGGGTGATAGTGAAATGGCGGTTAAAATATTTCATACCCTATATTGTCCCGTCGGTGTCTTTAAAGGTGACTGAAGGAAATTAAAACAGGATATGGGCAGCAGTATCTTCTTGATAAGAACTAAAAGATTACGAAGTTGCGGTTATTAACCCGTCTGCTAATCGTGAAGATCCTCCCTCCCGCTATGAGGCGAGCTATGGGGGAGGTTTATAACAGTGGACTTATATGCTGTAATGGGAGGAAAGTAATGGATAATGGGGTAGTTTGTAAATGAAACAAGGCGTTTTATTGTGTAAATTGTATTTACCTCTTATCATGATGCATAACGTATGTTGTCATCGTACATCCGATTTTTTTTACAAAGGTTACACAGTAGTCGTGGTTACATTGGTCAAAGTAAACATTTCTCTATGTTAAGAACATCGGAAGCGATAACTTACACGGAAAGCTTGGAATGTTAACGCACTGTTTACACGGCGCCGGGTTCATTCCCGTCACTATGCGAAGCGATGCGGCGATGCACGCGCGAAATTATATATTTACACTCGGAACTTTACTAACCACCTATTTTACATTAACTCCTTAACGTGAAGGTAACTTTAGTCTTTGGTAGCGCGAGCCACGTGGCGGGACGTGGCGGCCGACACGAGCGCACTCTGTGCGGTGTCCGGAAGTGGGCGGAGTGTGTTGCGGTCGCGTCGGACCGAGCCAATGAGGGCTGATCATTTCATGCTCACCGAATATTTGGAACCGAAGTGAAGTTATTTGTAATATAGCGTCATCCTATCCTATGTGAAAAGTTGCGTTTTTAATGAAATTTTTAAAAAAATAAGAAAACCTGTGGTTGTTAATCCGCCTGCCGCGCGTGGCAACTATGGCAAATCCTCCCTTGAAAGCAATTTATGCGAGAGACCTATGTTCAGCAGTGGACCTTTATAGACTGTAGTGGATGTAAGAACAGTTGGTCTGTTTATTTCTAATTTAATTAATATAAAATATAGCAAATATGACAGAATCAAACTTAAACACTTATATTTTCCAATGAAATTAACTTCACCGCTTTGAAATCTGCCAAATATTTCACTTCATTGCTAAGTGGCGTCGCGTTGGTGGCAGAAAACTTCGTGGATGCCCTCATTGTTGCGTCTTGGGTGACGTTATTTCAAATGAACATAATTGGAATACTATATTATTAAGTAATCTATAAAATGTTAGTTTTCGGAGAAGTTTTGCGTACATTTCATATATATAATGTCGCAAGTAATAGAAGTAAACAAAGTTACAGAAGTAACGAGTGAAATGATAAGTTTTAAGCTCTAAGCGCGGCTTCTTTAGTTCACCAAATTTATAATAAACCTTGGTACTTGATAGAACTAGAATATTAACGAAGTTTTGACTTAACAATATAACAAATTGACAAACAACTCTTGGTACCCAAGACGCAATCATCTTAGATAGCAATCTCCCGCAATGTTGCGCCGCGTCTAGTACCCAAAGCGGACAACTTTGTTGATAGTATAATATGTACGGGCGCACCCGTCCCGCAGTGGAGGCACCTTGGCACTTGTGGAGGTTTACGGTAGGAGACGTACGCGAAACATCTAATTCACTGGGTACGCTGCATCTTTGCAGTCAAAAGCGTGATTCGGTGCAGGTAAGAAATAAAGGAACAACAACCAACTTGATATCTCGAGTAATAAACGAGAACGATAAATCGGACGAATCTCTACCCTAAGTCGGGGATCGAGACGAGGCAATTAGACCACGCCGCCGGACCGAATACAAAACGTTGCTACACCGAAAAGCTATTTACTAACAGACAACTAAACAACCGCCTCTCGTGTACACTTGTGCACAAAAGTTTTATGTTACAGCCATATCAACCAACGAAACGAGTGATGTGTACGACTGATATGGAACTCGATTTGCCGACGTCTCTATGACTTTTGCTTCATGCACGTACTCGAAAAACATGCGGCGCGGAATAGAGCTCCCGAATAATTTAGCACCGAACGTTGTGATGTACAGGATATTATGAGCATCATCATCAAATTATTGTAAATTATGGACGAACTGATTTCATTTAGAACATTTTTCAAAAACTTTTTGACTAGATTCTCGTTGAAGAACGTTTCGCCTGTCTTTCTTATTACTTAAAAAATCCATCGCTGAATAAACTAATTTTAAGAATTTTATCGCGTGTATTGTAACTTTTTTTTAATTCTCGAGATTTCGGAACCTTTTGAATATTAATTTTTGGTTCAATCTACGCAGATAATAGTCTAAATAAATTAAAATAAACACGATAAAATGCGTAAAATCAGTTTTATTCAATGTCGCATATTCGTGTAAATATAAGAAATCATTGAATCCAACGCTCTCATATTACAAAAGCTCTGAAAACAGATATTGCAGCACTGCAATAATTATTGATGTCCGTGAGATAATCTGTCTGTTTAATAATGACTCCACGCTAAAATCGAGCGGGATCAGACCGAAGCCACGCGTTATCTCCCTTAAAAATATTAATACTGTTACGTAGGCTATACAACGTTACATAAATACCCTAACCGAAAAATATTAGCAGCCCATCGCTTTCACCTTCACGCTAAATAAAACTTTCGAAATAAAAAAACGGGAATAAAAAACGTGTGATTTTATACAACCGTCACACTTTGAACGCGTTTAAGAGGTACCTAATAACTGACCATCAGCAGTGATACTCGTGCGGCGATATAACTTAATAAATTAAAAATAAACTAGTCAATAAATAGAAGGAAGCATTTAAAACAATAGTAAAAAATTCCTAGTCTGAACACATCCTAGCTACATACAGCTACGCCGCCGCGGCGGCCGATAGAAACGCTACGTAGAAACCGTAATATTTACAATATATTCGCTACTGATAAAGATTCCACCAAATTAAAATCGGTTAGCTATACAATTATATATTTTATTTCGTTAACTATTATGCCCGTTATCGAGTTACATGCGATTCGGGCGTATATGCTATAAATAATTTCATTAATCATCATACTATAAATTTAATTTTAAAGTAGTAGACATAAACTCCGTATTCATTGTGAAAATAACAACAATAAAAATTAAATACGATATGCGAGGAAATATGATATAATAATTGCATGATATTTTTAAATCTTTTAGTCGATTGTGATGTTTTTCCAACTTGAAATTATATTAAGTTGTGATTTATTGATACTAGATATTTCTAGATCATATTTGTGTCGTGTCGATCGATCCGAGGTACGCAGGTAACTCGACGCGAGCGCGGGTCTACGCACGCTTCAATACTTTGTAAACGCATAACAAAAATATACCTAGCTACGTTTCAGTTGTTGCAGTTACAATGTATTTAATAAAATAGTAGATTACAAAACAATGTCGTTAACACTGTACACGAGACTAGTATGTGTGTGCTTCCATCTGTTACAAATTAAGGTATTCAACGTAAGCAATAAGTGCGTACACTTAACAATTAACATATTTAAAATAGTTCGTTACAACTTTTGTTCGCGACTGTATACACTTAAGTCACTATGACATTTTCGTAATAAACATTTAAAACACAGGTCCAAAGAAGTCGAGCTCTGTTATACTGTATAACAGAATCATGGAATTGTTTCATAATATCGAATTATTTCATACAGCATACGCTCCGTACAGCCTGTGTACGCGATAGACAAACGGAGAGGCACACATTTACCTACATAAAGCTATATATACACACCTCAGCGAGGCACTTGGTAGACAGGTTAACTTCCAACCAGCGGCATTGCGACGTGTACATTTGATCGACTGCTGCGCTCACGTGTTTGTATATATTTGTCTTGCCAAATATGACATGTGGCTTAACTTAATTTAAGCTTTAAATCATTCGCCATAAGACACAGCTTCGTTTATACAGAAAATCAAAATGGCTGTCACTTTGACATGACAAATGTACCCACGTAGATTCTTACTACGTATATATGGAAATATTATTATTTAATAGCAGATGTTCAAAAAAGCTATGAATTATAGAGTACAGATCAATTTCCATTCGTCACATTACAAAATCACAATTTCAAAGGTATTTCTAACTTTATTTCTATCTTAGGTTTTACCAATCAAATTGTGAGAAGTTTTGGACAATATTAATTATGACTAGAGTTCTAAAAGCTTCAGTAAAAATGAACCTTCGATCTATAGAAATAAGCTATACTATGATGAAATAGACATTCGACAAGAAATCAACTGAGCAATATGACATATTACGAAAGAACGTAATAAATTAGTTATTATAAATTTGCTATTTTGATTACAAAAGAAAATGAAAAAGGTTGCAGCCTGCTGAAGCGCCTCAGAACTCCGGTCAAGAATTAACTTACATTTGGATAAGTATCAGACTGTATTCATTTTGCAATCGCCCAAACATAGAATAGTATTTGACACCGATATAAAACATTTAACTACAGCTGAGAGTATGAAGTCTTACGCAATAATCAGCATCTTACATATGCATAGTATGTTTATTAAAGAGATGGGCGTTTGCATAACGAATGGTTTTTTCACAATCTTTCAGTGTTGACCGTACTCGATATATTTTGCCAATATTTCGGTATAATTAAAAATAAATAAAAATTTTACATCATTTAATATGATAACACACTATAGAAATGTATTATAAAATAATCAAATAGTTCAATGAAAAAGTCAAAAAGTTATAGATTTGCAATTGCATATTTACTTCAATTTGATTAATTAGTTTCTAAAGTCAAAACGAAATTAGTAAGTAAGAAGAATGTTAAAAACAACAAGGTATTAAGGAATTTAGTGTCATACATCGAGCGCGGTATTGCCTGCATATTAACTATTAGAGGCTTCAGTAGTAACAATAAATATCCGAATACACGTTTAAGTACATAATAAATCTACGTTATCGGAGCACTTCCATATTTTATACCGTTACATCAAGCGTAATGTCTCTAAACTGCATTTAAATATTATACACAATTATTGAAAACTTATTGTATGTATCAACAACGTTTCAGAAGGATCACCAATACGGCAACACCTACATTACATTCATTCATTCATTCGCGACAGTGTTGCCATTGCATAGTACCATAGACCGTGCCATTATACAGCGCCGAACTCGACATAGAGAGATTTTTAAATGAAGTTCACTAAATTTCGATTGGAATAAATACATTTTTGTACTAATTACAATTAGAAAACATCTCTCATGTACGTCTGTAACCACTAATTCGCCGGGTGAGTTCCGTGAGCGTCGCGGTGAACATGAAAGGAAGGCTACTCACAGTGGCGTGGCAGGCGTGGCTGGCGTGGCATCAGGGGCAGCGGCCGACTAGTCGATGGCGTGGTGTCAGGAGGGCGCGTGGTGCGGGTGTGCGTGCGCGCGCGGCGCGCGCTCGGTGGCGGCGGCCAGCAGCGCGGCGAACTCCAGCTCCAGCACCTGCCGGGCCTGACGCAAACCACAACATATACTACTGAATACAACTAAAGCGACACTAGCCTAATAGCAGAAGCAGTGCAGTAGAAATATAAACTTCGTGGGTTCGAACCCACCACTAAACTACTGTCGTGAACCACATAACACAAGCGTTTTAGGCTTACCAGAAGTGGTTAAATAAAATATTAGAAATGTTAATATCATTGAGGGCGTTTAAGTATTACATAACGCAGTTTTTGAAGATTTTTGACCTTCTACACACCGTAACATTTTTCTGTACCCCACCCCTCCCCCTACCTAAACGTTACGTAACACCCAAGTGACCATTTTTACCTAAAAGTCATAAAAAAATTATGTTACGAAAATTACCGAAAAACCACTAAAATACCTTTGTTAAAGTTACGAATAAAGTAAAAAATCGATTAGTGCGAATGAGTTTCAACAATTTGCAGCAGATCATTGATTCAATCATAGTAATTGTAAAAATTACAAATAACACAGCGTAAACAGTTTAACAAATGAAATATCAACATAATAAAAATAAGTCTTAAAATCGATTCTCGTTTACAGTTCGATTAATTACTTGTGTTTGCCAACTGTATTTTTAATCTGTGCTGACAGTGACAGCTCCTGCCTGACTCAATCTATGATCACTCGTCTCGTATCGTGTTAGTACGTGTGCGTTTCGAGTGTGTTTTTGTTTCCCGTTGTTTTATTGATTTACAATATTCCTCGAGCACCGGTTTCTTTCTACGGACTTCTGATCTTACTTAACTTCTGCGACGCCTTTTTTATAGAATAGGGTGACAAACTAGCGCACGGTCCACGTGATGGTAAGTGTTTGCAGCGGCTCATAGACATCTACTTCTATCTTCGATTACAAATCAAAATGCAGATACGTTGTCACCCGTGAGGACTAAAATGGAATGCCTCGTTTCTAGTAAAAAGGGTCTCCGGTTCTCTACACTCACCATACGAAACACAGCAACATTAAGCTACTATTTTACGCTGGTATTCTGTGAGGAGCGTGGTCCTTGCCCGGTCGAGCCGACCCATTAGTGCTACAACTATACTACTAATATAACTGCAGCATGGCTCTACCACGTATAAAACACGTGTACACGTGTCGGTAATATTTATAAATAGTGGATGGAAGATGCCTATCGATTATTTTTTATTGATGGTTGTACAGGCGAACAAAAGGCAACATTAATTAAACAATGTATGAGTTTGTTAGTAGATTATAATGTTAATATAATCTCCCTAACTTTTGACGGCTGTCCGCATTGAGTTATACAACACTAGAGGAGCAAACCATATTACCGCGCGTCGAAAAAAGTGTAACCACTATCCAAACGCGACGACATAGCTTTCAAACTAATAACAATTTTAAATAAACATATATCTATCTCACTTACACAAGTTGCGAAAACAATATCGTCGCTATTTTCGTTCGCGAGATTACATAAAGATAGACACACAAACACGCAATGGCGGGTTCATGTGGCTTACTATATGAAATTTTACCTAAAATACGCAATAAAAATGAGTTTTTAAGCTGCAGTTAATTGTTTTTATATTAAAAAAGTATATTTTATTTTAAAATCTTTATTGCGTCCCCTTAGAAAAAAGGATAAAAAGCTTATCAGATGAATAGAAGTAAACATAATAATGAAATAAAACAAATTTTTATAAGTATTTTTGTTGTACTAATAAATCAAACAATATAAACTAGGTAATAAAATATAATTTTTATAAAATGTATACGAAATTATAATTAATATAAAATAAGTAGGTAATAAAATATATTTAATAGATAATTCATGAATAAACAAAAATAAGAATAATTAATTACTTTGTATGAAAGTTAAAACGTAGTTTTTATTATAATTTCCAAAATATTTAAAATCAGAGGTAACAAATTAACTTACTCCATTAATTATACATATAGTCTCCCATTAATGTAGGATAATCATAAATGCGGAAAAGTGGCAACATTGAATTTAAATGGCAATATTCGATAATTTTATTTAATTATTTGAGGTCTTTTATGTTTATATGAAAACAAGAACTAAAAACTATGTGTTGAAAGTGATTCCGCTTGATTTATTACGTTTTTGTGACCTTGAATAGCATTCTTTCACTACGCATTTACCAATTTTTTGTCGTGGCTCAACTCTGTCGGCGTCACATTGAACACTGAACTGACGTTAGCTAGGAATATGGCTGTGGCCATATGTGCAGTGGTAACGCTTTGGCGCGGTTATTATTGATTCAGTGTAATATATAAATCAATGGCTGTCCGGCCAACTTTTCGATGGCAAAAAGCTTAGGTTGCAATTTCGATGATTTGACAAGTATTACTTCGTATTTTCTTTGTGATAAACAGCATGTATTTATATTTCCAGATCCAGCTCATATGCTTAAGCTTGTCAGAAATATACTAAGTCAGAAAAATTGATTAACAAATCTGTATGGTGGAATCATTTCTGATCATGGTTGGATACAATGACATAAATGACAAGATATGCCCATGCGAACAAAAATTGTTCACGGTTTAAACATAGAATAAATCAAAATAGCCTTATTTATTGCAAGATTTGAATATCATTTCACGATTAAAAATCTTGAGTTTTGTGATGAAGAAGACGTTCTCATTTTCAAATTATAATAACACTTATAATAACACACACACAGTCTCATATGAATAACGAATATGTAACTAACTAAAATATTCCATTATTCTATTCTATTTATTATATTATTTATTAAAGAAAAACTTTGTCATTCTACACTTTTCTAGCTCTTTTGACACTATCCCCTTCGATAAATCTTTAAAAAATACCTTGGGTGGGAATGAAAATCAGGGTTACATGAAGTTCGGTTTTACCCCAAATTATCGAAAGCCCTGTCAACTTGAAGAAACGCCTAGTACTTACCTACCTATATTAGTATATTTACCCTAAAATAGTGCAAAATATTCGCGAATACAAAATTGTCGCGTTGGTGCTCCATAAACATTTTAGCACCAATGAGTCGGTGCCATTTTGTTTATTCAATGACCCGGTTCATACGCATATAGTACATACATAGTTGTATAATAAGTCTATGGTTGGATATAAAAGTTTTATCACACAGAGAAGTGCGATATGAAAATAAAATTAATGTGTAAAAACTCAAGATCTCGACAATTCGATTATAGATTTCCCCCTAATAATAATTTTTTGGTCTATGATGACCACGATTATATTAACCCCTCAAAATTGACCACCTATACAGAAGAAATTATTTCAAATATCGGTGGGTTTGTAGTTAGGAAATTAAGAAAAATTATAAAATGTGAAGGTTGTCTGCTAGCTTTTATTAGCGAAAAAACGACATGGGCCAAACGAATTTTTATATAAAATTTAAGAATCAAATAGAATCATTTTTTTAAATATAAATTACAAGAATACTTATCGAAAGTCATTAAGGCTTTACTACTGGTTCGAAAATAATCGTACCAGTAGCGCCAGCGCCATACTATTTGCGTTACATTTGTCGAGTCAACTTGGTCCCTCGAGCCGGAAGTTGGAAAACGGGAAGCGGGAGGCAGAAAGTAGGAGACGGTAAGCGGCAGCTGAGACACGCAAGATCTTACCTGTGTGTTTTGCGTGGGTATCTGTAGCGCCAGCGCCATACTGTTCGCGTCGAAGCTTTCGTCCAATGCGATCAAGGCACCATGCACTCCGCTTTCTGACAGGTTGCTCGCGAACTCCTGACAAATTACATGTATCAATGTCAGTTGGATATTTCTATTTGTGTATTCTTTTTCAACACTAGCCTGTACAAGTCTTCTGCTGCACACGAAGTGTTCCCGCGTAGCTCTTTAACATTATTGCTTTAAATTATTATTATTATTATCGATTTGCTTTAAATGTTACGCTAGACAAGTAGATTGACAATCACAGTTCATGATTTTGTTGCGCAATTGCTAAACATTTGGTTACGAAATGCAGGTTCTAATCAAAAAGTGAGATTTATTTGTGAAATTTACGTACGTTAAACGCCTCTGCATGTTTGTGTAAACATTTGCATTTGTATTTTGATTTATGTGCATTATGTGATGTGTAAATATATTTGTTTCAGTGTATGCATATAAATGAAAGTGCGTGTTTATTTGGTTGGATTTGTATGACAGTCGGTAATTATATGAGTACAAAGGTACATATAAATGTACGTGCGTGCGTATGTTTCTATGTAAAGATGTGCGTATTTCTATGTTTAGATGTGCATATTTCTGTGCACAGATGTGCGTTTTTATGAGTACAGATTTGTATTTCTGTGTACACGTTAGTGGGTGCGTATGTGCGTGTGTACATAGGTGTATATGAGTTTGTAAGTCGAAGTTGTGTGTACATGTGTCAGTGTGTGTGTACGCGTGTGGTTAGTAAGGTCACCTTGAGGTTGATGGAAACATAACCACACACACGCACTCTTGTGTGTGTGTGTGTGTGTGTGTGTGTGTGTGTGTGTGTTATGTATGTGCCTCGCGTGTATACGTGTCGGTGTGTGTGTGCGTGCGAGTGCGTAGTGCGGTTACCTTAAGGTTGATGGGGCGTGCAGGCGCTCGTGTGTGTGTGTGTGTGTGTGTGTGTGTGTGTGTGTGTGTGTGTGTGTGTGTGTGTGTGTGCGTGTGTGTGTGTGTGGCGTGTGTGCAGTTACCTTGAGGTTGATGGAGACGAGCCAGCGCTGCAGGCGCTCGTTAGTCCATACGAGGACGTCACGAGTACAGTGCTCTGCTGCACGACGTCGCTCCTCAAGCGCTCGCACAGAATATCCTACTCGTTTTAAACACGCCACTCCGAAGTGCAGCGACGTTCTGAAATATTTCATTCATATGAGTTATTAACAAGCGCATATACCTTATGAAGTAAGTAATATCCTCTAGACCGAAATTTGGTCACGGCGGTCAGTCTAAACGGAGACTATCTCGGACAGGGTTAAAAAGTACACTCTCCTAGTCCGATGTGACGGTAATCAAACATGACAGTAGAGTGACAGGATCCGCGGCTTTATGTGCTTTCCGAGGCACAGGGGTCAAACACCGCCAGCTTCCTGACTCTGGGCTGCTACTGATAATTTATTGATAAAAAACACAGTAACTGATTTTGGCTTGACCCAGGATGAAACCAGAACCTCATGATCAACAACCGCGTTCACTGCCACTAGACTCACGAAATAGTCAAGAAAAAGTAAGTAACTAAATAGGCCGCTCATATAGCTCGAAACACCGACAAATAAAACAAAAAAAAAAGATGTAGAATGTCAGCTTCGTACAAGCAGCGCTGTTTCGGTAGGATTAAGGGCCACATACATCAGGTGTTCAAAACATTTTAAACAAATGTTCATTCATTCATAACCTTTTAAAAAACCACACATCAGTGATTACCGCCGCCCATGAACACCTGGAAAATCAGGTGAATTGCAGATGCGTTGCCGGCCTAGTAGACTCTTTTCTTAAAGGTCCCTAAGAGCTCGGTCGCTGAAGATTCGAAGCGCTCTGCGCTGGATGCGATTAAATGGAAGGAGCTGGCACTGGGGAGCCCCAGCTCAGATATTAGAACAGTATTCCATGTGTGGCCGAACCTGCGCCTTGTAAAGTTGCAAGCGGTTTGCCGGCATGAAATACTGTCCCGCTCTGCTGAGGACGCCAAGCTTTTTAGAGGCCAATTTGACCATTTCTTGCAAATGACTAGGAAACTGCACGTCACTCGATATGCAGACGCCGAGAAATCCGATACTGGCTGAGGCAACAAGGAAAGTGCCTTGAAACTGAGGTGATACGACAAAGGTATTCATTTTTAACGTTATTTTTAACTGTAAACTCGAAAACTTGTGCTTCTGGGGATTGAACTGGACTAGATTTAGTCGCCCCGAGTCCGATACTTTGAAGGTTATAAGTAATTCTGGTTGAAAGTCATGTATTACTTTTACAACTTGTTCGGAACATACCTCCGTCTTGGGAAGAACCAGCAAGATACTTAGTGGAACTTTTTTTCAAAGTATATTTATTATACAATCAAAAGACGCTTGTAGAAACTATTTACAAAATTTATTTAAGAAACAGCTTGGAAGCGACCACCTCATTCCCAGGTGTTATTATCAAACATGTATTTATTTATAGTATAATAGACTTATCATTCTTTCCCTCTGTAACTCGCGAACTAAGTCATTTTAGAAAAATATTTTGTTCATTACCTGTGAAAACCGTCCACCATCTTGAGTTGCGTTCTGAGGTCCCTCTTAGTTAAGTGCTCTAACATCCTCGCGTCCACCAGACACTCCATGAACGTTGTCCTATATTGTGGTAAGCCTGTAAAGAACAACATAGAAATGTTGGCGTAAGTCAGAGTAAGAACGAACTTTCGCTCTCTGAGTGTGCCATGGAAACTATAGTTGAAATGGGTTTAATCTTTGCGTTTAACAATTGACCAATTTATTTGAATTCCTAAGTAATCATAATTTTAATAAAATTCCTATCTATCAGTTTATTTTTTATCAGTTTTTAATTCCATTGGTGATTATAGGTGTCAGTCATTGTAAGAACGATTTGCAATCGCCACACTTTGCAGGCGCAGCGTTGCTGACTGATCTTTTTAGCTGGTCTCGATATTTGGCATATTCGAGGTGGTACACCCTACATATATATTAAGATATCAAAGATAGAGGGGAAATACAGCACTTCGGAGAGTTATTTGATGGCATTATTGACAGTCTTTGCTGAAAGAGAAATAGGGCAATAATGCCCTATTGTGTTCTGTCAGCGGGGCTAGTCAATACATATTTAGGCATAGTTAAAACTATAAAATGAATGAAATCAACGCTTAACATTCAGATATTAAGTCATTCTCTTTAATTTTTACGCAGTACACAGTTTTTATAGAATTAACGAACGTAGAAGCGTAACGTTAAAAGTTGAAAAGAAAACAAAATCATAAAAAATGTTTTTAACTGATTCGCTTCTCGATATCGCCGTTACTGGAACTTAATTTTTTATTTATCTATTCCAGAAACATATTCTGTATCGTAATGGCAATGTAATGAAGTGTCGTTGTCAGTGTGTCAGTATCGATAACAGTGACGAAGCCTCCATAAAAGCCGAAAAACCGGGCTTGCCTTATTAAAACTGAATCAATCAATAATATCAACTAATAAAATAACTCGTAAACTGTTTCAAACTATTTCAAATTTCCTGCGCACTCCACTGTTCGACACAGGTCGACCGATGACCTCGTATTGCCTTAGCGATACTGCTGCTGTCATAAAAAATGAGTTAATAGAGCGATTAGTTGTCTCCCTCGCTCGCGTGGGCTTTCGAGAAGACGATCGCGCTCTTTCTAACCTATGGCAAAATATTATATAATGAAATATAACTACGATTGTATATATAGCAATTAGTATAGAGATTTAAAGCCAGGCTTTAGGAATAAATTTTTTAAAAGTGGAGGCGCGCGTGCAATACGTTTGCAAGTTCATTTCACATTTCAATGTTTATTTACTCTGTGTGTTTAGCTTAAGCGATTAATTATTTGGAGTTCAAAATTTATGCTTTTTTAAAGATTTTTAATGAAAATGAAGGATAATAGTGTTCCTTGTGATGAATTGAAGTGTTAAAGTGCTAATCGGAGAGGAAAAGGTAAAATCTTTAAACTTTGTTGAGATAATACACAAGATCAAGAGTGTATTTCAAACTTATCAACTATCGCAATTAAAAAACAGTTATTGGTACAATTAAAACGTTCACCAACATTTTACGTGGACGTAATTAAATCTTTCCTTAAGAAAGCGAGACGATTCCACTTATCTTATCTCTTATCCATTAGAATCTAATTTTTTTTTTAAATTTTCTACATAGTTCGTATGTACTTTGTTCATTTTTTACTTTTGTTCATGTATTGTATTGGATGTAAATATTTTTTTCTTTCGCTTAAACAAACCCAAACGGCTTTCTTCTAAGCCACCGAAGGTATGCAATTGCTGATATGTAATACAATCTATCTAGCAGTAGTATGCCTTCTGTGTGCTTTATTAAACACGTTCTTGACAGCACTGAATATTAAACTGAAGCGTGGAGACAGATCATTGGTGTATTTTTATAAAACTGTTAAAAACAACCATCTATATTTTTATCAATTTATATCTTGGGCTTGCCCTAGTTTGGAGCTCTAGCTTCGCCACTGATCGATATGTTGGTGTATGAGTGTAGTGGTATTTCGGTGTCAGTATGTCAGTGATCCGATGAGATATTTTTTATTAGATTTTCTTTTGGGGTAAGGGTGACGAGCGAGTACACAGTCAACCTGATTGTAATAGTTGCTGTGGTTCATAGACATCTACATTTATCCTCGTTTGCGAATCAAAATTCAGATGCGTTGTCAACCGTAAGGACTAAGATAGAATGCCTCTTTTTTAGTAAATAGGGTTTCCGGTTCTCTGCACTCACCATACAAAATATAGCAGCATTAGGGTCACAGCTCATTAGAGCCGCCCGGCACCCGACCCTCACCGCCTCGCCTCGAGCAGTTCGCAGTCTTCGTATGGATTCGTATGGGCCTGCGCTCACTACATCAACTCCGTACCATCACTGCATCGCCTCGCTCGCGAGGTGTCCACGCGTGGACTGCGAGTGGACCACTCGATGATAGCTCGCTGTTGGCATGTTTGCCACGCGCGAAGCGCGAGCTGGCAACACGCGGTTCACGCGAGTGCGATGCGGCGCTCTCTACCAACCCTACTTTTCGAGCTTTTCTTTCGAATGTATCGGACGCATTGTTGTTTGTTTTTAAAATGAACGAAGACAAACTTATAGAAGAAGTTCGGAAGTATAATTTATTGTATGATTTAAGGGTCACTCGTTGATCACGGGAGGTCTACTCGTTCACGACGCGAGGTCCAACTCGATGACCACGCGAGGTTCACTGGTAACAACGCGGCGTCCACCCGTGGTCCACCTGTCGACTACGAGTGGACGCCTGGCGACGAGGCGGTGAAAGTCGGGTGCCTGGTGGCACTAATGAACTGTGACCTTTAAGCTACTATTTTACGCTAAATTCTGTAAGAGCGTGGTTTGTTTTCCGGTCGAGCCGATCCAAACGTGCTACAACTATACATTTAATAAATCTGGAGCATGTCTGTACCACAGTAAATATTGTTCAATATGTTTATGTATCCGTTAGTCAGTATGTCATAATACGAAGGTCACTTAATAAGCTTTGAGATGCTCGAAATTTAAAAATGGAACGCACCCGTGTTATATGTTTCTAAAAACCAAATTTATTTAAAAATAGAACTCCATGAGCCAATAGCTCATAATTAAAAAAAAAACAAAGTTCTATTAATTTTCCTGCAACGCTTCCCGCGCTTTTCATTTAAAATGATGGATCTTAACCATGAACATTTGCGCGCTATGATCTATTATGATTTTAATTTTGGTTTAACCGAACAATTAAGTTTACAACGGTTACAATCAGCATCATGGGACTCAGCTCCATCATGCGCAACAATTTTTAGGTGGTTTGCTGAATTCAAAAGGGGTAAAATTAACCTTAAAGATGAACAAAGAACCGGGGCCCGCAAACAGCAGTAACGGTAAAAAATGTATGGACTACTGAAATGTTGGTGCGAGAAGACCTACGAATCACATATACGGACATCGAAAAGATGATATGCATTAGTTCGGGGAGCATTCATACTATCCTACATCAACATCTTGGAATGAGGAAGCTTTGTTGTCGATGGATCCCTCGTTTGGTCTCCGAAAGCGAAAAACAGTTTTGAAAACGGGGCATCTAGGGGTGTTTCAGAAATTGTTACTGGTGACAAGACATGGATCTATCAATATGATCCGAAAAATAAAAGGCATTCATCGGTGTGGGTCTACTCAGAAGGATTGTTACCGACAAAACTGCAAAGACCTCGCAACGTCGGCAAGAAAATGGTGGCTAGTTTTTTTTGCGGAGAGGACATTATTTGTCGACGCCAATGCTAGAAAATTGTAGATCAGTCAATTCTTAATGGAATACTACAGTTGCATTACCCGAAGCCTTTGAAGCTGTGCGAGAGAGAAGACCAAAGACCGGGCTTCGGGAAATCATGCTGCATCACGATAACCCTCTTCACATACCTCCCCCCTTAGAACAAAATCATTTATTGAGGAATCTGGTGTTGAAACCCTAAGTCACCCACCATACAGTCCTGACTTAGCTCTTTGTGATTTCTTTTTTAAAAGGCAAGTTTTTTTCAAGCGCCGAAGAAGCCTGCGAAGAAGCGATTTCCGACCTGTCAGATCAAGACCGGCAAAATTGTTTTCAGACTTGGTTTAGGCGAATGGAACTTGGTATAGAGTGTGATGGAGAATATTTTGAAAAGATGTAAAATAAGTATCAATAGTATCTAGTATACTTTTTGCATATCTCAAAACTTATTAAGTGTCCCACGTAAGTGGGTGTATTTATATGATAAAGTGGTGCCGGTGTGACAAAATTGCAATAAGTGAGTTAGATTATCGAGATATCGGCGTGTCTTTGAGTGGCAATGTTTTGAAGTCGGAATGATGGTATATCAATGTCGGTTGTGTCGGTACTCGGTATATCATTATTCGTGTATTGATTTATTAGTGGTTGTGTATCCGCGTGTCTGTGTCATTTTATGTGTTTTTGTATATCTCTGTACGAAGGTGTCAGTATTGACGTTGGTGTAATGCGCCAATGTGTAGATGTGTCCAGTGTTTAGGCGTATTGCGTGGGGTGGAGGCTAGCTGACCGAGCGACGGCAGCCAGACGTTGCCGATCCACTCGTGGTTCATGTCGCCGAAGGCCAGCGCGGCGCAGGCCGTGCCGCGCGGCGCGGAGGGCGACGTCAGCGACACCATCTCCTGGATGGCCAGCCGCAGCTTCAGCCGGTGCAGCGGGTTGCTGATGCCTGCCATATTACTTCTTCTTTACTCTATTGCCATTATCTCAAATAACATTTTTTAAGCAAATATATGTTCAATTGATATTTATTTGATTGGCGTGAAATTATTTCATATTACTGGCAAATATTCTTACCAAAATTAAAAACATCAAAGAATAACAGCACAAATAGTCGAACGAAATTAATATAATAATACAATTATTAGAGATGAGCCGAATATTCGTTTCACATTCAGGATTCGGCAGCTCTACCGAATATTCGCCAAATATTCGGCTAAATCACCGAACATTCGTTAAAGTAATGCTCAAAGTGTCCACTGTATTGAAATGTACGAATTATGTAATGCCATGACTTTCATAATTTTACTGTCGAAAATATATTTTATTTATGACTTGAATCTACTTCTATAGCGTTATGTTTTTGAGGCACTGTAGATTTATTTACAATTGTAGAAAATAAAAAGCTTGATAAAATGTTTTTTGAATCAAACAAAGAAACATTACATTACATTAATAAATTTCACATTACTTTGATCGCAGTTTCTATATAACAAATCCAAATACTAGATCTCCTGCCACTCACATTTATTATATAGTTATATTAGTTATTATTTATTATATAGTTCACTAAGAATAACACAAAAAAAATCGTTTTTTTCCTCACAAACAAACTCACAGTCAAAACATAAGCATGTGCCGGCAATTTCCTCAGTACTAGATTATGCAATAACACGTCAGATGTGGTGGGGGAACGCGGGCAGGGTCCGGCGCTAATCCCGCGCGCTTTACGGTAAAAAGTTATTACGTAAATTGATTACGTACCGAGGTGATCCCGCCGAATAACGTTCGGCCGAATATTCGGTTCGGTAAAAGTTTTACTGAACTTTCTACCGAATATTCGTATTCGGTGAAATCCAAATTCGGCCCGTCTCTAATATTTATAATTTTGTTTTAAATTTCATTAGAATAACCAACATTTATAAGGGATATGCTCATTTAAAACAGGATCTCTCGTATACTCATTCGTACATATACAATGAGAATTAAAATTTATGGTAAGAAATAAACAACGTGCCGCTACAATGGTGACTTTAATTTAACACACATATACGTTTTCACATTTTCGTTTCATGAAGAAATTATATTTCCATTAAACGTTATTATTTACGGATTTATTTAAAATTTATAAAATAGCATCTTAGAGCAACTGTACTTAAAGAACTGTCGCGCAGCGGTCATTTGCCGGGGTCACGAATCTTAATTCATAACATTGCATCATTGAAATTAAAACGAATAAGCAATACTATTGAAGGAAAGAAACTTTGTCGGCAAGCGGTTGGCGCAGGAGATGCCTGCATGCCGCGAAATTGAATTATTTTTTGCTTTTCTAGTACTAGTCGAAACCGCGTCCTTAACACACTTGTTCGTAATAGTGCACATAATTACGTCTACTAATATTTTAGTGAATGTTTCCGCGAAAAAGACGCTTATCTATTGTTTTATTTATTAATATTTGTGTAATTAGGATAGTAAATAGGTAATGGTGCTGCGATAAAGACGCTTTGTTTTTTTTTCGTTTTCTAATTTAGTAGGTACATTTACATCCCTAGCGATACGAATTTTTTTATTTGTGTTTAGTGCTTGTGTAAACTCCGAACTACACAGCAGCTGAATATGGCCGTGCTAATATATCTCGGGAAAACGTCTCCGAGTACCGGGACAAACCTGTGTCTGAAGTCGAGTCTTTGCTGAAAAAAGTCTCGGATTGGGGGCGACTAAATCTAGTTCAGTTTAACCCTCAGAAGACACAAGTTTGAGCGTTAACCGCTAAAAAGAACCCCTTTGTCGTATCTCCTCAGTTTCAAGGCCCTCCCCTTGTTGCCTCAGCCAGTATCGGAATCCTCGGCGTCGACATATCGAGTGACGTGCAGTTTCGTGGTCACTTGGAAGAGAAGGCCAAATTAGCCTCTAAAAAGCTTGGCGTGCTCAGCAGAGCGGGACAGTATTTCATGCCGGCACGCCGCCTGCAACTTTACAAGGCGCAGGTTCGGCCACACATGGAATACTGTTCCCATCTCTGGACTGGGGCTCCCCAGTACCAGCTCCTTCCACTTGACCGCATCCAGCGCAGAGCGGCTCGAATCGTCGACGACCGAGTGCTTTCCGATCGGCTCGATTCACTGGCGCTGCGAAGAGATGTTGCATCTCTTTGCGTATTTTATCGCATCTATCACGGGGAGTGCTCTGAGGAATTGTTCGGATTAATTCCAGCCGCCAAATTTTATGAACGCACTACCCGGCAAACCTCCCGATACCATCCACACCATCTGGATGTATGGCGGTCCACCACTGTAAGTTTCACTAGGAGTTTTCTTCCGCGTACGACCTCTCTGTGGAATAAATTACCACCGGCGATTTTTCCTGACCGATACGACCTGGGGACCTTCACGGAAAGAGCTTACTCCTTTCTCAAGGGCCAGCAACGCACCTGCAATTGCCCTGGTGTCATGGGCTGCGGTAGTCGCTTAACATCTGGTGAACCGCATGCTCGTTTGCACCCTCTTCTATACAAAAAAATATGCGGACATGATTCCTAATCTACGGAGAATGTCGTCAAAATTCCGCCTTTGCGATAAGAACATAAGAACATAACGCGAGAGATACGGCGTTTCAAGACATTGCCCTACTCATTCTCGCAATATTGTAGGAGCTCTTCAGCGCATCCGCTAAAACCGACCAGTAGATACTAGGTCTCAACGCCCTAATCAACCTACACGACAAAACCCAATCCAGTTAAGACGACACATCCAAAATAAACGCTTAAAATGGTTCCGCCTATTCCACCCCGCGCCCTGCTAGCGACACTCGTCACTCGATTTCTAATATACTAAAATTTCAAACTGGCGCCAAATGCTCAATCGGAGGACAACGTACGGTATACAGAAAGGAACAAGCAAGCGTCGGAGTCGCGACACACTATTTTTTTAATGTTTTTAATATTGTTGCGCGCCTAAGTTGACGTTATGTACCCGGCACTAGCGCCATCTAGTGTCGGGGACGAGAGCAAGGGGAGCTTCCAGAAAATGACATCACTAATCTTTCAACCGACAGCGTCATTTAGTATCGAAACGAAGAACTAAGCTTCTAGAAGCCCGTCACTCGAACTTTCGACGCCTGGTCGATTGGCGCGCGTATTTACTTGAATATTCTAGATGTTTCGGTGATAATGTGTATTTAAAGGCGCTGCAAGATGCGATCGAGGAAGTATTGAATTTGGCGAGACAAGCGAAGCTTCGGAGCGGAATAAAGTGAATCAGTGTGGTTAATTATTAGTGTTTTAAGTTTAATTAGTGTAAAGTGAATTAAAGTGTTAATTTTGGTAATTTAATCGGCAGTTTTTATTGTCACGAACCCTAAGCTCGTAACAATATTTTGCATCATTTATTGTCTTGTTGTATAATAAAATGTAGCTGTATATGTCATTGTTGTTGTCATGTTAGTTTTAAGAGAAATCAACAAATTTTATTATTATTGAAATAATAACTAAGTCATCATTTTTAAAACTAATTATATTGTTTAACAGAATTTGTAACTACGTTTATAAGATATTTTATTTATCTTCTTTTTTAGGGACACATTTTCTTTTTTGTTACATAATTTGGATCCCAAATTTGTTTATTATAGTAAGTCGCGGTTCTATTAATTCCGGTAGCTAGCAGTTAAAATAAAATGAAAGTAATTTTGGCTCCATTTTACCTTTCCAAAATTGGTCATCCTTTACTATGGTTTCCACTTTTATTTTATTACGTCTATACCATACTGTATACTGCAATAAGCATTTAGATATTCCGGAAATATGCATCTGTCAACCAATCAGGATTTTTGTTCACCTGTATCTCACCCTATTTTTATTTACCCGCCAGAAATGCAATTGTGTAATAAGAGAAGAGTGTGGTTTGCAAGATGATGTTGTGACCAGGATTAAGAAAGGAATGCTTCGGTGGTTTGGTCATGTGGAAAGAATGAATGAGGAAAGAGTGACAAAGAAAATTTATGTTGCAGAAGTGAATGGCAGAGTCAGAAAGGGACGTCCTAGGCGAAAATTTATCGACCAAATTGGCGATTTATTGAAAATGGGCCAAATTAGGAGTACCCTTAACCGACGAGCATGTATGCGTAGGTGTATGGATGTGAAGGAGGCGAGAGAGGTGTGTCAGGATCGTGCCAAATGGAAGTCTGTAGTCTCTGCCTACCCCTCTGGGTGACAGACGTGAGTGTTTATGTATGTATGTATGTAAATGCAATTTTACTTCGTCAATACCGACCTCGTATGCAATTACGGAAGACGTGATTTCAAACAGGCTGTTACTTCATATAATTCCGTCAGGCGTCGCTCCTAAAAATTGATGATTTTTGTCTATGAATAGACTACTTATTTTATTTATATACGGTTTTGTTCTCTATTCCCTTGTGGGTAAGTACTAAGCGATTTGAATTATCTAAATGGCCAAGTTGCTTGACCATATTGAATCTAGGTAGACAGGTAATTCTCTTTATAATTTACTAGAAACATACGTGACACTAAAATGCTATTAAAATATTTACAATGATATTATTTACCTTGACTTGTTCGCCTCCGTCATTCTAAGATATTTTTTCTCCAAATTGCTCTTTCCTTTTTCTCCTATATACTTTTTGCTTAGTATTTCCCATTACCACAAACAAATTATTTAAGTACCTACTTATACTAATAATAATTTCTTATAATAATAATAAACCTATTCTACAACTATAGCTATTTATAATAATAAAGGTATATATATATATATATATATATATATATATATATATATATATATATATATATATATATATATATATATATATATATAAGAATAGAGAGTACAAGCGAACGACTTGCGCAGGTCCACCGTTGAAGCGGGCTATCGGCTATACCTGTCCTAGACCCGCGTGAGTATATAATTTCTATAAAAACTGTAAAAACGCCGCCATAAAGTCTAAAATTGCTTAGCGTCCGCGACGATTAAGACTGCTTAGAAATTGTCAGAATCTTAAAATATGTTTAAAAAAATTAATGAATTAAGTAATCAAAATAATGAGCAACTAAATTACGAATATTGACGTTATGAATATACTTGAGTGATCTTTTTTATACTTTAAAAAGAATATTAACAATGCTATAAACATTACTAATATTCCCCTTAACCACTCGTGGTAAGCTTAAATTGCTTGTGTTACAAGTAGTTCACGCCAGTAGTCGAATGACGGATTCGAGCCCACGACCTTTTTGAATTCGCGGTCCGCGCCCTGTCGCTTCATTCCCAAGTAGGCGTCAGAATACACAAACAACCTAAACGTCCATCGATACCAACGGATGTGGTACCAATTATATGGCGCGCCTGCAGACTCTGCAACAACAGCCACTCAGTGGCTAACTGATACGTTTGGTGCACAATGGATTGGTATATTTGGACCTGTAGGTGGCTAGCAAGGTCGCGAGACCTCACGCCACTCGATTTTTTTTCTGGGGGTGCATCAAAGACGATGTGTACGCGGAGGACTCTGTGGAACAATTACGCCATCGAATAATAAATGCGTGTGAGAAATTGAGGGAAATGGCTATAAGTGACAATTTATTTTCAAATGTGCGGGAAAACATGAAACGCCGGTTAGCTCTTTGTATCCGCCAACACGGTGGTCTCATTGAAAATAAGAAAACAAATTAAAGCAGTGCTTAATGATGACAGTTAACAAGTAGTAAGAAGAGAGGGTGATATGATATGTTTGACAAAGCACCTCCGCTGTAAGTACGACTTGCGCCGCGCGTCGCCACGCTGACGCCGCTCAGTTTATTTGATAAACAAGACGCTTTGCGCGGTTACTAGCGCGCTAAACTACGCGTTGCCGCTCCGAGTTAACGTAAACCAGCTAGGTAAGTAATTTTGTAAATGAATTTTTGCAAGGGTGATCCCAATTTTAGTTACTTTTTTAATATTTAGTTTGTTTGAAAAAAAAATTACGATTGATTTTAACCTATCACAATTAATATGATTAATGGGCACTAGCCCTACCCGTTTGTAAAATTAAAGTATCCATTGTAGTGCCATGTTGTAAAGAAATTAATAGAATCAGGCGTTACTTTGCGGAAATCCATTGTATTAAAGTTGGTAAGAATTACCTTGCCCATATCCGCTCAATAAAATGAAATGATGTATATGCTTACCTAGTTTCAACAGCACCCCCGCCCTCCCTCAATTGCGTGTACTAATCTCATCACCACGAATCCCAGCACCACTACTCCCAACACCACTACAAAACACTGTAAAACCCACCATCGACAATAATAAGTTATGTGTTTCGCCTTTACACGAGACATCCTCAGGTGATGTAGACTCTGCGGTGGCTGGCCGCTAGCGGTCAAACTAAGCAAGGAAAGCTAGAATTCAAACTAGGTAAAACACATCATCTTATTTTATTCAGCGGATATGGGCGAGGTAATTCTTACCAAGATTAAAATATAAAGTATCCTGCTCGAAGAACCAAATACTTTAAAGTTAATTAAAAGGTTTTATATTCGGTTTTGTGCCGTCATGATAACAATAATACGTTCGTATTAATATTACGCAACATAAGAAATATGAAAAGTGTAAAGTGTATAAGAGGTGACTGACCGATCTCGCGCTGTATCTCCTGGTCGGAGAGCGCGGACATGATGGCGCCGGATTTGACGTTGGCGCGGCAGGCGGCCACGTACCAGGCGGGCATGCCCACCCACAGCTCGAGCCACGCCACCACCGTGGGCCCGTTCCACAGCGCGAACGGCGTGCCCGCGCGCATCGCCTCGCCCAGCAGCTCGTGACGGTAGTCGCGCTCCCTGCACCCGACACACAACCGTCAAACATGCTAACCATCGACAGCGAAACATCGAACATACTAACCATCGACAACCAACTATCAAACAAGCTATCCTTGCAGAACCAGCCAGTAACACCAATATATCCTTGAATAAAACTATTTTTACGGATTTTATGACGTTTAATTTACTTCTTAAGTTAATATACGCAATAAAATCCATAAAAATCGATTTATTTAAATGTGTAGTGTTTCAGTAAATATAAGAAATCAGGAGAGACCTAGGTTCGGCGTATGCTAGGTCACGAGTACGGTTCTATTTCGCAAATTATTATCTCTAACGTTTTCTCAATTTCAAATACAACAACATTCGTTACATTTTTTATAAAAAGTATCATTATACTAAGATATATAAGACTGTCTCGTTGGTCTAGAGGTATTAACGCGACTGCTAATAATGAGATCCGGGGTTTGAACCCGGGTCAGGCCAAAAAAAAATAGTTATTGATTTTTTTCTGTTAAGAAATTCTCAGTATCTGCCCCAAATCAAGAAGTTGGCCGTTGGTCCTGCGCCTGAACTCTCTCCGGTCGTGTCGGTTTACCGTCCCATCGAACTATGAAAGTGATGGAATAGAGACTACACCTGTGCTTGTGCATACACTTGGCTGGCTAATCTCCGTTGAGGCAGGCCGCCGTAGCCAAAATTCGGTCTGGAGGATAGTATGAAGCATTTTCAAGAATTTTACAAATATTTAGTTGCATTATCTAAAAATAACGGAAGAAGCACTAGAGTAGAATAAACGCAGTAGAAATGCGGTCGTTAAGAAGTATGTTAGGGCTGATTCTGAGTGACAGGGTGAGAAATTGTGCGATAAGAGAAGAGTTGGTGTGCAAGATGATGTTGTGACCAGGATTAAGAAAGGAATGCTTCGGTGGTTTGGTCATGTAGAAAGAATAAATGAGGAAAGAGTGTCAAAGCAAATTTATGTTGCAGAAGTAAACGGCATAGTCGGAAAGGGACGTCCTAGGCGAAAACCAAATTGGCGGAATTAGAAGTACCCTTAACCGACGAGCATGTATGCGTAGGTATATGGATGTGGAGGAGGCGAGAGAGGTGTGTCAGGATCGTGCCAAATGGAAGTCTGCAGTCTTTGCCTACCTCTCTGGGTGACAGGTGAGTGTTTACGTTATATTTTTTAAAAAGCATACACGAGGGTACACGTTGCAGCCTACTCTAAAGTGAAAATATACATTTAAATATCATTCAATATCTCATTCATTCATTTCATTCATTTTTCATTCGTTACTTCCACTACTTTTAAATCATATACTGACTTCGTTTTGGAACGTGCATAATCCTGCTGATGTTGTTGGTGCTGCTGATGCTGAGGATGTAGCGGCAACGCAGGATGCAAACCCGGACCTTCCATGGAATCGTCCGCCAGCCCAGAGAGCCCTAGCGACGACGCCGATGATAGAGAACGCGGACTTGCACCCTGAGAAAGCTGTAAAAGATATAACGTACGTTTAAAAACGTCTATTATGCAACTTTCTAATGCATTTCTCCTTCACAAAAATCACAATTGCACAATTTTAGTTCATCGGTAAGCACAGATAGCGATTTTTCCGAACCGATACCACTTAAGGACGTTCAATAAAATAGCCTACTCGTTTTAAAAGGCCGGCAACGCGTCTGCAAATGTTAGTGTAAGTTAACCTTAAGAAATCCACCCTAGGGCGGATAACAAGGAAACGTGTGTTCAATTGTGAATTGCGAATTTTCGATTATCTACCCCAGACGGGGTGGATAATCGGATTTATCTTTTATTTGTTCTTCCGAATTTTTACCCCAAGTACAGTTCAAATCATTACACCTTAATTTTAATAATTTTTTAACAACCACAAAGTTCAAATATCGTATTGCCGCTACCGTTGTCGTCACAGTCTAATAAACTCCACGTATTGCATTTAAATCAAATTAAACTTCCTCATTTTAAATAATATTATTACGTAATTTATAAATTCTGCAATATGTCCAGGCAATCACCAACACTAATTTCATTTCTGAGTAGGATACTTGTATAAATTCGTCAATTTTAATGTACATTTACAATCGTTTTTTATAATTTGTTAGCTACAAATTTGCGAAAAATTGGGCGTTTTTTGCAAGCATTCCAAAAACGTTACTTTTTCATGTTTTATTTTAACTTCATTTTAAATTTTTTTATGCCAAGATTTCGGTGAATCGGTGATCTTGTAAAGTACTCTATTTATTTCAGCGTTGACCTTTTAAAGAAGTATGTATATATTTTTATTAATATATTGGGCCAATTTTTATCGTATTTCTATAAATTACTGTACACAGCTGAGTGACAAAAGGGCCGCAAGCACGTTTGCCCTCTTATATATATAACAGACGGCATATTCATAAATATCGACATCAATTTAAGAAGTGCCTAAAGTTGCTCTTTCTTTTTATTAAATAAAATTATAAAGAGACAGGTGCAGTGATAATCAACGATCATAAGTAAGGTCAAGAGTGCTTAAATTAATGTGATTAACGTTGTCGTTAACAAAAAAATATATAGGCCTCTGGCGTAAAGTATATGTGATAATTATTAAAAAATTATGCCATACAAACTCGCAAAAAATCGTCCATATCTTTTGGATAAAATATAGCCTAGATTTCTCTACAGACAGACATTGATAAGTGAGCAAACTTTTTGATACTTTTCAACGTTTCAGTTGCCTCAATAAATCATATGGGTGAAAACATTAATAATAAACATAAACATATTAATTTTATTTTATTTTAATAAGGATAACAACAGCGTATATCACTAAATACAATTTCAAATTTACTTCAAGTATGCCAATAACAGTTATCCACATATTAAATATAAAGGTAAGCTATTATTAAGATAAGAAATTAAACAAATTAAAACAACTTAATAAAATAACAGTAATAAAATTAAGTAATTTTAGGTTTACTAACACTAAGATATTAGGTCTTTCTGACAAATTCATGTGTGATTTACTTTTCGAGTTAATTTTGTAATTCATTTATTTATATCATGGCAAAATATATTCTATATATCATTACATATATACATATATACACATACACATACATACATACATATATATACACACACACACACACATATATATATATATATATATATATATATATATATATATATATATATATATATATATATATATATATATATATATATATATAATATAATTCACTAAGGTAAATTAAACAACAGAAGCTGTGTTTAATATGCATGTACGTACCCTGTTTCTAAAATCACTTTTACTGCCTATAAAGGGATCGATGGTATTAAATGTTTTGTTATAACTTGATAGCAAACGTGTTGAGATACTATTTTTACCATAAATTGTGGAATGACGAGGTATACTAAACAAAGTTTTCTTGGTGATTCTTGTACGTTTTCTTTGCACATTAAAAGTAACTGTATTCAGTAAATCCGGGCAGTCAATACCATCGCGTAAGATATCGTATAGAAATCCCATATCTAACAGTTTACGTCTTTCTACAAGCGTAAGAAGGTTAAAGTGTCGGCAGTCATCTAAATATGATGAGCTTTTATGTTTAAATTTATAGTTCAGGTGTGAGATAAATTTACGTTGAATTCTTTCAATATTATTAATGTAAATTTTAAAAAAATGGTGACCAAACCTGGCATGCATACTCAAGAGTGGATCTTACATACGAGAAATAAACTATTTTAAAACTTAGTAATTCCGTAAATGGAAGACATGTACGCATGACAAATCCAAGATTACGAAATGATTTACTACATATACTATTGATATGATCTCGCATGGTCATACCGACATCAAAGAGTACGCCTAAATCCCGAACAACTGTGACCCTCTTAATTAAAATTCCATTAAAATTATAGGGAAATACTATTGGGTTTCGTTTTCTGGTGAAAGATATACATTGACATTTGGATATACTTACATTAATGCCGTTAGCTACGTAATAGTTGTATAAAGAGGTAAGATCTTTTTGAATTGATTCGCAGTCTTCAATAGTACGAACTTTGAGAAAAATCTTTTTATCATCGGCGTAAAGTAAGTGATGGGAGTTACTTATAAATTTATGTATATCAAATATGTATGCGTTGTAGAAAAGAGGGCCAAGATGAGAGCCTTGAGGCACGCCAGATGGGATAGTAATAAAATCTGACCTGTAACCTCCAAGAACAACTGCCTGAGATCGATTCGTCAGATAAGATTTGACCCATCTAAGCAGATCCCCATGAATTCCGAGCGCCTGGAGCTTTTGTAGCAATACAACATGATTTACACGGTCAAAAGCTTTTTCGAAATCTGTGTATATAACGTCAACCTGACCACCATTTTCCATATTATTAAGAACGTACTCAGTAAAGCAGGCAAGATTAGATATTGTAGAGCGTCTTTTTAAAAAACCATGTTGTGAATTAGGTATACCTTTTATAATAATTGGATAAATTTTATCAAATACTAGTTTTTCAAAAATTTTCGCAACAGTGCTAGGAATCGAAATCGGGCGGTAATTATCTATTTTAGTTTTGGTTCCTTTTTTATGAACAGGAATTATATGCGCCCTTTTCCATGAGGATGGGAAAACAGAACTTTGTAGAGAAAGTTTAAAAAGTACAGAGATTGGGTAACTTAAACTGTCGGCGCAAGACTTCAAGAACACAGGAGGCACTCCATCATAACCAGCGCCTTTGTTTGAATCCAGGCTTTTAAGATACTTAAGGACAGCTTCGCGGGATACATTTATGCTAGAAATCTGATCTACACTCATGTTGGTATGATTTTGAAACTCACTTGATGGTAAAGCAGAAGCAGAAAATACGCTTTTGAAATAGCTATTAAATGCTGAGCAAATGTCCTGCCCATGACAGTAATATTTATTGTCAAGAGAGAAATTTTGAGGATAAGTGGATGTCCCTCTTTTTTGACTTAACATATTTCCAAAAGAACTTTGGCAACGTTTTCAATTTTTTTTTCAGTATTATACGTGAAGTATTCAAAACATTTATTTTGTATACGATGTTGTCTATCTCTAAGCAGTTTAAACTCTTCATAATCACGAGGATTCTTCCATTTTTTCCATTTTTTATGGGCTTTTGATTTCTCCCGCAAAATTTTTATCAATGCAGGGCTGTACCAACATGGATAACAATTATTACAAGAAGACACAAGGGGAACAAATAGATCAAAGCATTCATTTAGTTTTTTATAAAAAAAAATCTACAGCATGATCTACTGACGCGGTATTCATAAGTAACTCATTCCAATCAACTTTATTCAAAAAATCATTGATGATTGTATAATTACATTTACGGAAATTATACTTCGGTTGAGATTTCTCTTTTAAAGGTTTAATGGAGAGATCAGGGACTTCAACCATGAATGGAGGATGAAAATCATCCAATCTGGAAAGAGGATCCGATTTATTTATTTCTAAGTGTAAATTTAACTTACTAAGAATTCAGGATGTAAAAAAGTTGTGATTTATAAGAGGATATTGGCTATTTTTGTAACAGTTTATAGCAACGAAAATTTTACTTTTGTTCTATAAAAGGTCTGTCATTACATTGTACAATTCGTCCGTATTTTTTTTTCTCCATTAATCAGACTCATGAGAAAAGTGGCATAAATATGGCGTTATAATTTCGACACTTACAGGTAGACCAGCCTTGTCCTTTTTGCTGAAGAACCTTCCAAGCGAGCTCTTGATGCCCCTCTTCTTCTGCTGGTGCATGGAGGCGATGGACACGGCGGAGGCGGCCGCGCGCGGCAGCGACGGCGAAGCGCCGCCCCCCATAGCGCCCGCCCCGCCCCACCCGCTCGCACCCAGCGACAACGACTCTTGACTCGAACTGCCGGGAGATCCACTTCAATGTTCAACGGACTAACACTAAAAATTATATTTTACACTAACAAAGAACAATTCAACTCAAAAGCTCTACAACAAAGTCCATAAATACACAGTAATGCATGACGGTGAAGGTAAAAGGTAAAGTACGAATAGAAGTATTTTATAATATCCTTTATAATGTTGAGACGTGTTTAGTTTTTATCATTATAAGCTTGAACGATATTCTGACAGTTTAAATAAATATGAAACTACCTCAAGTAAAAATAAGATACAATTAAAATTGTTGTTTCATTTCATTTTATCACAACTTGTCAAATAATAAAATAAGTGCAAAACATCAAATATAATACAAATAAATCTTAGGTATTTCTTATATCCCAGTTACATATATTACTTAATAATTTTAAATTCAAGCTTTCAAATATTGGATATATTTATATTATGCGAGTGATTTACTATATATGTCTAGTCACTTTAATATTTTTTAGCAAATACCAAATTTTATTTTTCTAATTCTCCCAGGACTGACTGGTAGAGAATGCCAAACGGCATTAAGTTCACCCATTGTAACCCTTAAATTAAGGTGTAAAACAATAAAGATTAAATTAAAAAAAATTGGATTGCGAAAGATTATGTGAAGAGGATGAGAGCTAAAAATACATATTATTAAAATGATATTTTGTGAAGATTAGTTAAAAGCGATGATTTTTAAATAAAATGAAGTAATGATATTATATAAAATGTAAAGTAAAATATAATATTATGTTAACTGAATTTCTTTCTTGTAAAGCGAGCAGTTCTAGCAACAAATAATCTAAATCTTAGCTTGATGTGAGGTAATGTTAAAATCAAATGGAATTACTATGAAAATCTAGCGTTTTTGTGACATTGATGGCTACAGGGTCACACAAATAAGAAAATATTTTACGTACCACAAAATAAGTTATTTATATTCCTTAATAAGAGACAGGTTTATAGAAAGTGAAAAAAACAACATAAAACATAATAATTCCATTTAGTTTATTCTCAAGTAAACTGAATTGAAACCAGAATCAACCGTTAGTTACTAAAATATTTTCAAGTTTATATTATTTTTAAATACCTTATTAATAATGTTTATTTTTTAGATAATTTCATAAGTATTTGACACAAAGTATACTTTTTAACGATTAGCCTTCAACGATTATGTATAAAAACGATTTTGTTAAGTCACATATATTTTGTAATGATTATCAACTATCATAATACACAAAAATGTTCAAATAGCTAGGACCATATATAAGCTGTTTGTCCATGTGAAATTTACGAATGAAAACTCCACAGTAAAACCCAGTTTTTGTAAAAAAAGGAACAAAAAGCCACCCTTTATATATCATAAAGGGCAGTTTATAAAGTGACAAACAAATTTACAATTCAGTTGACGGTAAGTGACTACTGCATTCCATGAAAACATGCAGCCTACTCAAAAAAAGGTTAAGTTGTCACCTTTGAGGATTAGGATGGAATACCTCACATCCTGTAACTATACCGGATCTCTATACCCCTCAGAGCGGAATACAGCAGTGTAGACTGTGCCATTTGATGGCAGAATAAGTAACAGGATGGCACCCACCCCAGCGGACTTCTACCAGCTAGTACATTATGTCTCCCACACCGGATTTCGGTCACGGCGGACAGTCTCAACGGAGACTAGCCATCGGCGCAGAACAGGGTTATAGTGCCCAAGTGCATGCGTAAGCACAGGTGCACTCTCTATTCCCTTACTCTTATGGTCCGATGGAACGGTAAACCGACACAACCGGAAAGAGATCAGGCGTAGGACCAAGGGCTTTACGTGCTTTCCGAGGCACGGGGGTGAGACACCAAAACTTCCTGACTCCGGGCAGCTACTGAGAATTTCTTAATGGAAAAACTCAATAACTATTTTTTTGGCCCGACCCGGGATTCGAACCCACGACCTCATGATCAGCAGTCGCACTACTACCACCACTACACCAGCGAGGCAGTCAGCTAGTACGTACCTTTTGTCGCATTAAAATGTTGGAAAACACTGGTTGCTTGCTTTCTTTAAAAATAACTGGCGGTCTTACATGGAAAAGGATGATGTAAAAGGTAAGAGTCGAAGGTTGTCGATATTTTGTACAATTTCGATTTAAAACATAATCTGTGTGGAGCATAGTTAAACAAAGTGTCGGGACAGTCACACAATGTATTCAATAGGTTCATATCTGATTGATAGATAGTTCTTGCGATCTTAGTTCTAGGTGTTAAGCTAGGTTGAGATGACCACCTGTGAATTGGAATCCTGGCGAGACTTCCTGACATTATTGAACTCCTGAGCAGCATGGAACGTATAAAATATTTATTATTATATGGTATGATGATGAACACAATGCACAAATGAACCAAATGGGTGTTTTTTAATAGGATAGGGTGACAAACGAGCACACAGTCCACCTGATGGTAAGTGGTTAATGTGGCCCATAGACATCTACATCCATTCTCGATTACGAATCAGAATGCAGATGCGTTGTCACCCGTGAAGACTAAGATGGAATGCCTTGTTTCCAGTAAAAAGAGTCTCCGGTTCTCTACACTCACCAGACGAAACACAGCAGTATTAAGCTACTATTTTACGGTGGTATTCTGTGACAACGTGGTCTTTACCCGGTCGAGCCGACCCATTTGTGCTACAACTATACTATTAATATAACTGCAGCATGGCTCTACCACGTTTAAAATGTCATAAGAAGCGACAAAGGGAAACTAAAATAAATTTCTAAAAACACCTCTAAATTATAAAAAACTACGGTTGCCAACCGGCATGCTGAGCGTGGCAACTGTGGTTACATTCCTCCCATAAGTGAATCTATGGGAAGATCGATGTTTAGCAGTGGACTTTTAAAGGCTGTAACAATGGTTATAAAGCAACAGTTAAACACATCAGTATAAGCTTCAGTACTGTCGTCGTAGCACTTATTCAGCTCTTACCTTGACGAAACTTAAAAATAATTTTGTTTGTTAATTCTTGCATTAATTAATACTGATAAACAAATATTAATCTTAGTTTTTACCGAATAAATATTTCAAAGGTATTGTTTATGGAATAAAGTGTATTTTCCCTGCTTATTAGTGATTTAAATGAACTATGTATTTGAAACTTAATTTAAAATTCAAATCTGTGACACTAATATCCGGCTCGAAGGTCTAACAAAATATTTTTATTTATCTAATGATAATAAACATTAAATTTAGCAAAAATTTTATGTTTTGTCTATAAGTTTAAATATTAATTTAAAGGTTATCTTAGTAAGTTAAGTCTAAGTGTTTTATAATTTCCATATGTTTGACAGTGGTTTTTATGACAATCGACTATTATTTTGAAATGTTAATTTAAAACCCACCAGACCGAATTTCGGTCACGACGGCAAGTCTGAACATATTGTAGTTATCTGCGCAAGACCGAATGTATCTAAGTATATGCGCGAACACTGGTACACATGTGCAGGAACACTCTTTCTATTTTTTTTACATTCACAGTAATTTTTATTTAAAATAAAATTTAAAATGTTAATTTGGAATCTATAAAAACAAATTAATGATCGGTGTGGAAGTCACTTACGAATTGAATTTTGGCGAGAATTTGACTTGCGTCGGATTGTTACTGCTACATATATTATTTTTTAAATAGTTGTTTGAAGTAGATAATGATGCGTAAAAGTGGCGTGGTTTTGTGTATTAAATGTCTGTGTATGTGGACTATTGGTGGACATGATGATATAAGCGCTCTGGTAGTGAAGTGAATAATGATTTCTTATATTTACGCGAACACTACACATTCATTAAAACTACTTTCAAGGTATGGTGTTTGTTTAGGTGTCTTGAAACACTACTGTTATCGATTATATCAAGATTAATTGAAGCTTCAATGTTTTATTGTTAAGAAGATTTAAAACAAATTATTATAAATGAAAAATGGGCGTGTGTGAGTATGATTTCATTATTACATGCGAAAATTTTTGGTATACCAATTTTTTTTACATTGATAACATACACGTATTATATTGATGTACTTTTAAATAAAGTATTATGTACTAATTTCGTGGTACAGCTATATTATTGTGTAGTGCGAATGAGTCGGTTTTAGCGGATAATACTTTTATTTATTTATTTATTTATTTATTATCACACACAACAGATTACAACTATTACTAAACAAATTATACAAAAACAATCATTTATAAACTAGGTTGCATTCCACAAAAATGTGTGTACATGAAAAATTACAAGGGAGTTAAATATGTCTACACAATTTAAGGTTTAACAAGAACAGTAATCTAAATAATAGGTACAAAGAACAATACTAAATAAGAATATAATAGGGTTAAAATATAAGGAGACCGAGAGTCCAAGCGCTGGGATTAGACTGTCGGCTTGTGATACAGTATGCTTTTAATCAAATTAATATAAAGAGTTAGTTTAGGTAGAAAAACGTCAAAGGTTTGGTTACCCTTGGCTATTTCATTGCACTGACGAGCCATCCTAACCAGGGGGTTGTAAAAGGAGGTATTATTCTGATACACTTGTAAAGTAAAAAGTGCTATTTGATTTGCTCTACGAGCACTATATTTGATATTAAAAGTTATCTCAGCGAGCAAGGTAGGAACGTCTAATATGGAGTGAAGTATTTTATAAAAGTAAACGAAATCAAAATATCTTCGACGTGTTTCCAATTTTTGTACATTAAAATTAATGAGACGAGCTTCATAATCAGGAGTTTTGCGCCTCGACTGTTGGCGGTAGCTTAAAATCCGTAGGCATTTGCGCTGCACTCTCTCTATATTTTCAATATGAACTTTGTAGTGCGGAGACCATATTGGACTACCGTATTCCAAAACGCTTCTGACGAGTGTAGTGAAAAGGTAAAGAAAAGAATGAGTGCCCTTGAAGTCTTTAGTAGATCTAAAAATAAACCCCAGAAGTTGATTCGCTTTTTTCACTATGTGGTGGTAGTGTTCGCGAAATGTCAATAATAACATACTCTCTAACATACGAAAATACTCTCAGAATACCAGCCTAAAATAGGAGCTTAATGTTGCTGTGTTTTGTATGGTGAGTGTAGAGAGAACAGGAGATTTGTTTTACTGAAAACGAGGCATGTTATCTCCGTTTTGTTTCTTGATCGAGGGTAAATGTAGATGTTTACGGACTTCGGTATTCACCAACCATTAGGTAGACTGTGTGTTCGTTTCTTATCCTTATTGTATAATTTTTTGATATAGTTCATTAGCAAAGAAAAAAAAAACTTACGAATCGTAGGGCGCGGGGTAGTGCGTGCGCAGACGATCCCGCTCAGCGTGCAGCGCGCGCGCCGCACGCTCCAGCCGCAGCGAGCGCGCCGTCAGCGGCGACGCACCACCCTCCGCCCCCGCGGCCCCCGCACCGCCGGCACTCGCCTCCTCGCACAGCTGCAGCTGCACAGTGCACACCCGCCGCACGGTTACTCTCACACCATCTCGCACGTACACATACATTCATTAAGGTACATTTCAAACACAAACCTGAGTGTAAGCTCTACTGTCTACACATACACCTAAATTTCCTTAAGTTGGTTTCAGACATAAACCTGAGCCCTCTGATACATGACGATACAGCTCCACTTTACTAGGACCAGTTTTCAGTCGTGTTTACCTCGAGTGTAGACTCAAACTTCAAAATGTCAAATTTCATGTCATATAGAATAATCACGCCTTAATTTTTTTACAAGTCAGGCAAAACGATTCTAACCCTAAATACCAGCCTAATAAAATGTATTCTACTTTAATAAATACTCATGGTATTTACGCTCAAAAATTACAAACTAATGAACTAGAAAATTGAAAAATTATATGAGATATATATAGATTTTTTCTAAACAGTCTCAAGTCTAGCAGTGGCTTAATAATAAGCTGTTATGATCTTAATCATTTATGTTCACCTAATCGGTATCTACCGTGGAAACAAATCAATTGCGCAGAATTGCCCTTTGATAAGATTGCAAAAACAAACGACTCCAGACCCAAACCCTAAATTACCAATTTATATTTTTGCACAATTGATGCAATAAACTGAAATTCAAACCATAAATTCTTAGTAGCCATATATTTTAACTACATAGCCGTGAAGGTTCATCATTTAACAGAGTATTTTCTCGTTATCCGATAATAATATTGACACACCAAAAAATTATAGTACGCATTTGCGCTGTAATAATTTGGTCGAAAATGAGACACATCTATCTTTGTGGACTAAACTTTCTATATGCAAACCTTTTTATTTCTTGCACTGTTTCTTATATTACAAAATTCAGTCTAGTAGCATACGCACCTACAAAGAAGGGTTAGTAATAAAGCGTTATTCAGTGATAATATTCCACACAATGATTCATCTACTACAACATGATTTCATACAAAATTTATAAATGAAGTTCCTTTTACTAATAATATTAATATTTAGTTAATAATTACTTGACTACCAAAATATTATCTATAACTTGTTAGTTTAAATTTATGTATGTATATTTTACATGCCACAAGTTAATGAAATAAAAAAAATTATTGCAGTTTGATTCAACATTTTACTTAAAAACTGTCCAAATGCAAAATATCAAATGTTAACAAAAGAATTAACCTCAAATCTGAATATTTTGTGTTCAAATGTAACAATTAACAAAAGTTTAAATCATTGTGACGAAATAAAATTTTATAAAATTCTTAAATGTCAAAATAATTTAGCTAAAACTCTTTGACGTAATTACGAAGTAAGCGTTTTGTATAAGAATGAACTAAATAAAGTATCGTAAACTAAAATAACATTTTTTATTTATTGTGCATTTGGCCTCGTATTAGTTCTAAATATATTATCTAATTTTTCACATACAAAAACTCTTTTATACTATATTATATTAAAGTACTATATAAAAATAATATTTGGATGAAAATAAAAGAAGATACTGTATTAGTTTATGTTCCATTGTTCTCAACAACAAACAAGCTTTGCCTAACTACTTGTCAATAAAGCTGTGCGGCTGTGAAAACGTTGTTTAAGACACACAACCAAACCAGTTAGAATATTATTTCTTTACTACCATTTGAATATTAACTATAGGAGTCCCTTAAGGGTCACATACCTGTAAGACCCCTTTTTTATATATCTACACTAAAATTATCAAGAGAACATTACAATAATTATACAAAGATAAAATTCTGCGTACGTGTTCACTAAAATTATATAACGAAAAACACAAACTCACAACTAAAAAGAATTTGAAAATAATCTAAGGAGCCAATTCACAAAATTCATAAGCTTTTAGTGTACAGTGTAAACGCAAAAACGAAGCCACGCAATTATTGCATAGTTTGTGGGATACAATAGTTTCAATGAAAGAAAGCATTCGCTTGACAAATCATGCTGGATCTGACTTGCCACAAATTACGAGTCAGCCGTGTATTGGCCAAGTTCGACAACTATCTAAGCATATTTTTGTACGTCGTTTAGTCGCTTTTGTCTCTTTTAATGGAGATTTCTTATATTTACGCGAATAGCTTATATTTAACAGGTGATATTTAGGTATTCATTTGGAGTGAAACGATTATTAAAGTAATTGTAAAGATAAAATATTAAAAAATCACAAACTTTTTTAATCCCCTGAGATGTTTGTCGACGACTTTAATTTATACATTTTTAGTCCGATCTATGCAGAACGAGCGTGACCATTGGTGATGTGAAGTGCCAAAACGTGGGAATTAAAAAAGTTAAAACTAAACGCGATAAAATCCATAAAAATTAGCTTTATTACAATTTTTAACGTTTTTCATAATTTAGTAAAAGTAATTATTTATTATTTTATATTTACAACTACATTAAAAATTGTTTCACTCCAACTGAAGCTTAAAATATCACCTGTTATGTTTTTGCTATTGTTTGTATTAAGATTTGATTGTCAAGTTATTTGCCTGACAATGTTATGGTTATTTTCTGTCTTTTTTGTAAAAACATCTGCGTTTTAACATTTGTAGAATATACTTTTATAGTTGTCGATTTACAATGCACATGAGCATTTGAAGCGGTGTTGCAATTCTTAGTCGGGTTGGGCAAATAGGCAAGACATAAATCCAAAGGCGATACGGCCGTTGTACGGCCTAGGAAAGGGAACGGGGGGTGGGGAAGGCCACCGACCTGACTGGAGGGGAGGCTCTCGGAGGAGGGCGGCGTGCGGTAGTGGTGCGCGGGCGACATCGAGGCCGGCGCCTACCGACACCACACCATTACAATTTTTATAAATATAATAGAAAAAAAGAAAAAATGATTGTCCAACTGTATAAAATGTATATTATCATAATATTTGTAGTAGAAGAGGTAAAATTATTATAATAACCTATACGCATAGACTAATAAACCAAAATAACATTTCGAAAGGACAAAATAGAGAATTGTAATTAGAAATTATTTTATCGTATAATAAATCAGCCTTAAATATATGTATATTTGTCACTTTCTATTATTGTTTAATGAAAAGAGACATTAACTTTTAGCATTTCTTAAATAGACGTTGATATGAGTAATGCCCTATATTTGAACTTGTCTGAACCTGGTTTTGAATACATATATAGAATCTCTAAATATCTAATGGCAAATATTTTGCGACAACATAAGGATAAATAATACAGAATTGTAGTAATTGTTGAGTCTCTTGGCGAAAAGCCGTTTCCATGAGACTCCTTTTATAAACTTGACATGATGTCCTCCATTATAATAGATAGTTATAATATTTCTTTACAAATTATTGCAAGTGTGTTGACAGGATGAACTTCGTGATAATATGTAATGCAAAAACTAATCAATCACTTACATCGATAGGTTTCAATAGAACAGTAATCAAATATTAAATGGTTTTATTGTGAATCTAAATATAAACTGATTTTGTAAGTGAGCTAAGATACAGTTGTGTATATTAAGAGTTATCTGGTTTATGAAGGACCAATTCCTATTACAGGATTGCGGTGTTAATATTTAGTGGTTTAGCCATGTATAAGTGTATTGTAATATAATAGTGTTTTAGTAGAGTTCAGGTTAAATGTTGGTGATCATGTTATGTTAGGTTAAACCTAAGTGAAGTAATTTAAGTGGATGGTGACGTAAGTTGAAAAGGAATCCACCTTTTCTGTTCGGAAGTTTTACTATTATTATATCTACCGCTGTATTCGAATTTTGACAGTAAAGGAACTAGTACTTGTACATACACATTACAGTTACTGGTTATAAGTCATTTCATCTCAGTCCTAAGACTTGGTAACGCTTCTTAGCCCTTTTCCGTTTGAAGTTGGTTCCTACTCACTGTTAGCTCTTTTGTCACTCTACTTTTATACAAGTATAATGGTGTTTTAGATTACAGTGTAGTAATGTGGTGTAACGAGGTAGTGAAATTGGGGTTTTGTGTGTAAGTTTGTTGTTGTAGTTTTAGTGTGTGTGTAAGTGTCGTATGTTAGACGGCGGTGGACTGACCGTGTGGTACTTGTGGTGGTGCGGGCGCGAGGGCGAGGCGGGCGGCGGCGAGTCGCGCCGCGCCACCACGTTCATATGCTCGTAGCTGCCCACCTGCGCCACCACCACACGTCACCATCGCCACTCTCACCACTCACACACGCTACACGTTGCATCGTTACCGACTGACACAGCACAACTACAACTCAATTATATCAATTCGACAAACTATTAATCCATCTATCCATCTATTACAGCCTATAATAATCAACTGCTGTACATAAACCTCTCCCGTAGATTGCCCCATAGGGAGGATTTTGCCACAGTTGCCACGCTTGGTAGGAGGGTTGGCAAGCGCAATTTCTTATAATATTGAGCTACTATCAGAAAGATACTGCTGCTTATCTTTTGTTTTAGTGTCCCTCTTACAATATCCATAAGAAGATAAGATGTAGTGGATGTTCTTACACCGTCACTATACGGTTAACTCACACTATTAAGGGCCTATACTACCTCAAATGGCTTAGCAAGATCCTCTGTTATGCCGAAAATATTGCGGCGCTAATTTTGAAATAAATATATGATAAAGTTGAGGATTAATGTTAAGTACTATGTTAGTCGAAAACACGATTTTGTAAAAATTTCTCGATAGGAAAAAAATCCAAAGTTACCTCCAAACCGAACAATAAACCGCTGGTATTCACAAAACACTTTAAATTAGATCATGAAACTTTGCATACTAACTGAATTAACTATAAAGCAGGACTTATTTTTTTTATTTTTTTATTACTATTATATTTACTGTAAAAATAAATTACCTAAGCTATCGGTGTCCTGAAGCTTGTTCCCTGCCGCTCGATACTCCCGCTCAGTCTCGCTTCAGCTTTCGTACGGGAAAGCTGTTTCGCTTACGATCGGAATACACATAACGTAACAGAACGACGTAAAATTAAAATGGTAAATAACCGTAACGAAAATAAGATGCGACTGTGTTGGCGTAAAGAAACAGGCATAAATATGATAAACCTAATAAAATAAGTATCTACCGACTCTCTAATGTACTTACAGTATTAGTGATTACAAACATGTCGCTAGGTAGAATAAAACGCGCGGGGAAGTGGTGGCGAAATTAGAATTTGAGCTGAGGTAGTATAAACCTTTAATTGTAACTAAAAAAATCAATTATTTGTAGAGCGATAAGTACTGACACTATGACATTACACGACAATAAATAATCTATCTACCCAAATCAAACCGTGGGTATTGCTAGATGATTTTATGATCTCCAATAGGCGCCAGAACAATCATCTCGTATTCTACAGAATGTAAAAACCAGTCTGGAAACGAGACACAGTATTAAAAGAAATATCTAATTCTACGATTAATAATTTATCTATCAAAAATAGCAAGCAGGGAATCCTACCTACTATTCGTGAAACTTTTTTTCAGTAGTAGATGGATTGTTTTTGAGCTAACTAGGAAGAATTACATACGTATACAAAAACTTGAATCCCCTCAAAAATTAAAAACTACCAATAACAGTCGGTAACAAAGCAACTCATAGCCGAAATATTAGTAGAAAGAAATAAATAAAATATTAGTTATATTATTCACCATCACCATTGGTTACTTTCCCTTTTTTATTTTATTTATTTTCGTAAGTATTCTTTACAAGAAAGATACTAAGCCAACAATGGTGATAATAACTAAAATCCATTACCAATGTGAATGTTAGTATAAAAGTAGGCACGAGTTATGAGCACTGGATATGTAGGTGGCGCTAATTTTCGGAAAATTACTAAAAAATCTTAAGTGTTACAAGTATACGATTGTATGCTTAAAACTCTTGAACAAACCAATTTTTTTTTTCCTCTTTTTAAAATCTTCTGCGCTTTTTTCTATTAAACTGAAAGACAAACCCAAATGGGATAAAATGGTGTTGAATAACCCATAACCGAATGCTAAGGCAAAGAATGAACAAAATATTAATTCCAGCATTCCTTTCATTCATTGGATTCATTTTTGCTAAATGTCTTTCAAAATAAAAAAATCTTTTTGATTTACAAATGATGACTTATTTCTGCTTCTCTCTACCCAGTTTATTTACTAATAAGAGCACTGGTTTTTGTTTACGTTAAAGTGAAAAGATCCAATAATCCTAGACCCCAGGTCCTAGGAGACATTCCATGATAGTCGTCGAGTATGACAAAGCATTTATAAGCCCATGTACGGAGTAGGTTGCAAGTCCATAGGCCATGAGGTGAGCTACAATTCAACCAGTAAGTAGTTATTAATAGAATCAGGTGGTACTTTGCGAAAATCCAATATAATATATTATAAGATGTTGAAAATTTATTTGCTATTATTATTAGGCCACCTGAAGATGCCACGTAGAGGCGAAATACGTGTCGTATTATCTACTGTGATGTGTTATTCCTAGTGTAGTGGTGTTGGGATTAGTGATGACGCGGATAGTGCACCAAATTGAGGGAGGGCGGGTGGTGCTCTTCAAACTAGGGAAGACACATTATTTTATTTTATTATGCAGATCTTAGCTAATTAAGTTTTTGTATCTTTATTCAACAAGAAGTATAATTTTTACCAGTATCCAGATTAAAACACCTGTACTCTGATTACATTTGCAACATTTCCTCTTACCCTGGACTCGAGTTCCTCCGCTCTCGCCTCCGTGCTCTGCTTCTCTTCCTGGATAAGTCTGATCTCCGTGTTGATGGCGTCCAGCTGCTCTTGCAGCATCAGCGCTAAGGCAGCAGCGTCAGTATGCCCACCTTCTACGCCGCCATCGGACTCGTCGTTCTGAAAACAATGATCTTTTTTATACATTTATTTTTCTTTTTTTTAATGACATTGGGTGACAAACGAGCACACAGTTCACCTGATGGTAAGTGATGCTGTCGTCCAAAGACATCCACATTTATCCTCAATTAAGAATCAAAATTCAAATACGTTGTCACCCCTCAGGTCTACGATGAAATGCCTCGATTCCAGTAAAACTGGTCTCCGGTTCTTTACATATCTATAGCAGCGTAACGCTGCTGTGTTTCGTATGGTGAGTGTAGAGAACCGGAGACCCTTTATACTAGAAACGAGGCATTTCATCGTAATCCTCTTTTGACACGGATATACATTTTGATTCTTAATCGAAGATAAATGTGGCCTACGATCTAAGCATCCACTTACCAACAGGTTAACTGTGTACTCGTTTGTCACCCCCATTCTATAAAAAATCCCATTGTATTAAAATGATACTGAGAAAAAAACTTTCATCTCGCTATTTTTTGTATTTGCAAATGAAATATTCTACAATTACAATACAATGACACCTCATATGTTAATATCCATCAGGCCATTTAGTACAGAGCAGTTTTAGTAGTTACCCTCGTTCTGGGGCATTCGGGTATATAAGAAAGAATGTAAGTTTGTCATAAGTCTGTATTACTTCGTACATACCTCGGCATCGCTGGAGACGTCGTACGCCTGCTGCACGTTGGCGAGCACGTGCGCTTGTTGCAGCTTCTCCCACGAGCCGTCCAGCTGCAACACGTGCCACGGTTACAACGAGAAATCGTTTCTCATGTAACGGCTGTAAACCGCTCGAGTTCAGAATGAGATGCGACCTTTTGAAGCTTTAATATTATAACTACCTCTTTAAAAAAAATGCTGTGGTGCCAACATAAGAGATCATCTTATCCCATGGGTATTCGTAAGAATCGACTATATCTTAGAAAGATCGCATGACTTTGATAAAAGGCGGTAAAACCATCTTCTTTTACCGCAACGTCAAACAGCATCAAATCGTTAAGATAATACCTTGAAAATGAATCATAGATTTTGGGGCGCGGCTTGGAGTTTCAAAATGAAAGTGATGCATTGCTTCATGTACGCAAATTGTGAGATAGCTTTAACAAATCACGTCAGCGTCAAATAAAACATTTTTTTTAAAATTAAACTATGTTATGGACTAAAAAATTAATTATGTGAAGTTAGATATGAATATTTGCTACGCTTCAAAAATAATTCCATGGATTAATTCGTAAAAATATTGTGGTGGTGTGGAGAAATGTAACTATTTAGAGCTCATTTTACAACTGTTGCGTTGCTGGAAGCATGGTGGGTGCTCAGAATCGGAGATCTTTTTAACCGGTAACGAGGTATTTAATTATAGGTCTTAGGGATGACACTGCATTTATTTCTATGATAGATGTAGATGTCTAGGGATCACAGTATTTACTAACCATAAGGGAAGACTTTGTGCAAGTAAGAAGAATTAGAAAGAGTAGTACAAGAAAAATAAGAAAAAGAAGAAGGAAAAAAGGACTAAAGCTAAAAAAGAAGAACAAGTAGAAGGATTATTAGTAGTAGAAGGAGAAGACAGAAAAGTCGAAGAAGAAGTAGGTGAAGAAGGAAAATTAGAAGTACAAGAAAAAAGGGTTGGAGCAGAAGAAAAAGTAGAAGCTGAAGGAAAAGAAGGAAAAGGAAAATTAGAAGTAGAAGAAAGAGAAGAGCGTTCTGACCTTGGGCGCGAAGAGCGGCACTTGCTGAGGCGGGGCAGCCTGCGCGGCGGGTGACAGCGAGCGCGTGAGCGCGTCCGTCTGCTGGATGTTGAACGCGATCTCCTGCTGCAGCAGCTGCCGCTTCAGCTGCGCGCACACACGCCACATAACACACATACATATCATAAACTAAAAGTTAAACGTTCTTCAGTGCCAGCCTTATACCGGTACATACATGAAGTCGATGGATGCAGGTTCCTCTGGACCGTGCTCTGTGGCATTCCTAGAGGAGACCTATGTTCAACAATGGACTTGTGAAGGGCTGCAATGATGATGATGATGATCAGCATCTTTAAAATTAAATATACATTGGGTTTAACAATGACATCGGGACGTCAGTCATCTCAGTCCACCGTGACCATGGGTGCTGGAAAGCGCCCGAAACGTCGGAAATTAAAAATAAAAGTAAATAAAAAGTAAAAATAAACGCGATAAAATCCGTAAAAGTAGTTTTAATCATTAAATATACATGATAAGCCACAAAAACAAACCTACTAAGTTTACAAGTATATATACTTCTACAAATTATTACAAAATTACTGACATATGTATATTAGGCAGAGCCTGTATCTTAAATGGCAGGAATTTATTATTCTACTAATCTAGTTTATAATATATTAATAATATTAGTAGAATTTATTATTAATGCTACTACTGCGTTACATTGCAGTCTTTGGAAGATTTGACGACATCTTAACTTAGAGAACAGAAGATAACGATAATATCTCAAGGCCCCAAATGCTCTCTAGACAGATTTATTTCACCACTTTGCTGCATGCATTATGAACGAAGAAGCAAATTGTTTGGTTTGAATGCGTAGTATGTCGACAACAAAGAGATGGAAACCAGCTAGCGTCTAGTGGTAGAATAATGGATAGAAGGACGGAAGATTCAAGTCACACAATTCCTGCACACATTCTCAGCAATGTATCCCCCGTCGAAAACAGAAAGGTCAGCTACTTTACGCCTGTGCTCGAGGCTAATAAGATGGGGGTTTGGTTAACCAATAAGCAAAGCTCATAAACCTTTCCATGGAGTCCTATTCAAACATTATCAAGATCAGACTAAAACACTGTTTATTATAATATAATGTAAATATATTACTATAGGATTTCGATCAATCAAAATCACTATAATCGTGACAGTCTAAGAAGCCCGATTTGACGTTTCTTATTATACATGCGAATTTGTTTTATTTGTGTTATTTGTGTAAACATCTACATAAGAAATCGAAAAACAAAATATTTATTAGAACCCATCTAGCCATTTGACTGTACTGTACAAGGGAATAAAGAATGTAATCATTATAACTTTTTCTCTTTTACAGGCCATGCTGCACGAAAAAATACAAAACCTCCATTCACCACAAAAAAATGCTTGGTCTTCTTAAAGAAGCATGTGCACACGTCACAAATGATGATTGGAGCAATGCAGTAAAAAGGACAAAGAAAATTATAACGGAAGACTTTAAAAGAGACGCACATTTTGACTATTTGATTGAAATTGAATTTATTACAATGTTAACTGACAATTTAAACCGACGAAGATAGTTTAACTGAGTAGAATTTCTTTGGATCATCCAGTGACGACTGATTATTGTATAAATGTTAACGAATTCAGTGAATCTATTTATTTACCTGACTCAACCACACTTATTTATTGTTAATTTTATTCTAGACTAGCGACGCGCCTCGGCTTCGTACAAGTACACTTGTATATCATATATCAGGGGCATACCCAGAGCTTTCATTATTATACGTAAACCTTCCGTAAGAAATCAGTATGTCGGATTTTACTTTATGTCATGGCTTTGAAACTCGTCCAAATTTAAACTTAAGACCCATTTACACTTAGACAAGTACAGTAGCGAGTTAACTTGCGAACCTGGCAAGTTAAGCAGAAAATCTTGTTTGAACGGCAATGCGAGTTAAGTAGCAAGTTAACAATTAAGTTGAAAGGGATAGCCGGCCGGTCTATTTTTTTCAGTGAGTTAATTTCGAAGTGTTCGAGATACCCTCTCGCGCGTCTCCCGCCATCCGCAACTAAACTCGCCGCTCTTGAGAATGCGTTCGACCATCAAAATACAAAATTGTACTTTTTTAACTAAACTCGCCACGAAGACATTTGAACGCATTTAACCGCTTACTGTCAAGTGCCCAGTAAGTAAACTAACTGAAACTAAACGTACTGTGCTTGTCGAAATGTAAATCGGCTATTAGTTTGGATTTATATGATAAATGTTAAATATTAAAAACTCTTACATAGTGAAACGATACCCCTCGAGAATTAATTTTCAACAATGTAGATAAATTGACGATTACAAACTCTAAGTAAACTGATACGTCTCGATAAACGGTTTTTAAAGCAACCGAGGTTTTTCCCATCATTACACAAAGTATTTTGTCGTTGTCAAATCAGGCTTCTTTGATTGTCACGAGTATAGTATTGACTCCGATTCTCCAGTCTTCATTTTGACATTTCTCTACGTATCATACTCTCAAGAGTCTGATGCTATAGTTTTTAGGAGAATGTCTGTGAGTATGCGTTTGTTTTGCTTCTTCATAGAATTTCTTCAACAAAGCGTACAAATACATTTTTTGAAAACTAGTATAATCTCATTTTATGTATCTCTAAATGTGGATATATTTATTTTCGAATCAATTACATCAAAATCAATAAATGACTTAGTAAAAAAATCAGTAACCAAATAAAAATTATTTTAAAGATGAAGTTCAAAGGATACTGTAACATTGAACACAGGTTTGCTAAGAGAAAAATGTAAAGATGAGTAATACCTGCTCGGTCTCCATGCGCCATTTGGCCAACTCCTTGAGTATCTCCTGCTTCTCTGCTAGCAGTTCGTCGGCATACTTTCTCGTCTTCTCCAGTTCTTGCGTTAACGCGTTCTTCTCGTCTAACGAGTGCATTCGCTCTTTAAGGTGTACTTGTAACCTGGAAAAATGAGAAGCATTGACGAGTCACAAATAATTTCATTTTATTTTTTTTATCAAACGAGCACACATTGATGGTAAGAGTATGCTCCGACCGATAGACACATAACTATAATAGAATAAAAATCCAAATGCAAATACTATTTATTTATTTATTTATTTAAGAAATTTATGATTACAAAGATGAATAGTTTTAGTGTAAACATTCATTAGAGTTTTTCCGTACACCATTGCTGTCGACACATTATTCAAATTAACACTTTACAATACATTACATTACCAAAGTTACATTAATATTATTATCAACTTAAATTAGGTGCATTAAATGTTATATAAAATAATATAAAAATATAAAATAGTTTTAGGCGATGAGCGTAAAATCACAAGGTGAACTATTACATTCTGTGAATAATCGTGATACAGTTATACGATATCGACTAGATGACGCAATCATTAACCACGCCCCCCTGGGCGTGGTTAATGATTGCGTCACCGAGGTGGTGGGGTTTGGCGCTCAGAAAGCTAGTCGCCGTTGCAGCGTTACTTTTAGCTCGCACGGTCGGAGAGAGCAGAAGTGCTAAGAACTAGATATTTTGAATAAAACTATGATTTACGGATTTTATCGCGTTTAGTTACTACTTTAATTTATTTTTATTATCCCAACGTTTCGGGTGCTTTACAGCACCCATGGTCACGAGGTGGGGGGACTGAGATGTTTGACGTCTCAATGTAATAGTTAGTCCGGCTACCTTCAGTTTTTGAATATTAATTTTTGGTCCGATTTACGCAAAACGAGCTTATAGTATCATGAAGTCTTGCAGTGGTATGCTTAGATTTGGGTTTAACTTTGTTAATTATAGAATCCCAAGCAGATGGCAGCACCCATCCATCTACTCTATTGAAATTTGTTTGTGAAAATGTTTTTTAATTTCAATAGCCTGCGTATCATCCTTGGTAGGAATCAGTGTTCTTTTGCGAGGATTAGTGGTTTATCAAATCTAATGTAATGGTGGGGACGATCTTAAACATGTTCGCAGACTGCAGACTTACCGGAGCGTCGGTGCTTCACGTCAGCTATGTGTTCCTTTTATAGATCTTTTTGTTTAACCTATGTATAGTAAATCATTAACTAGACATTTGCTTAAATCAGTAGTTACTTATTAATATTGTAAAATTTTATAAGAGATTTACAGTACAAGTTTTGTTTTGAGTGCATTTTTTTAATTGTAATTTTATTTCTGATCAATAATAATATATAACACAGATTGTCATCCATTAGAGCTAATGTACAATGCCTCGTTACTAGTGAAAGGGTCTTCGATTCTCATCGCTTACTATTCGCAACACAGCATCATTATGATGCTATTTTCGCTGGCATTGTGCAAGTGTAGTTTTTCACCAGTCAAGTTGACTTATTCATGCTGCAGCCATTATATGGGAAAGCATCATTACATAGAAAACTGTAATACATATATATAATAGAACGGGAGGAGGGCGGAGCCCGTGTAGCCACTAACATGTCACTTATATGTCAATTCACATCTATAAATGTCAACACAATCATTCGTTTCTAATTTTCGTATCAAGCGTCGTTGCATGCAAATTATTTGAAAAATGGCAAATTGTGAAATAATTACGTGTCGAAAGAACAGCGGGAAATGAAATTTAAATAAAGGAGACATATCCTACAACCAGTAAGTCGAAACTATTTATATTTTGTGAATATTAGAAACAAAAATAAAGAAATATTTGTGTCAAAAATATTAATTCTAAATTGTGTTTGTAGTAGTGATAACTGATAATACGAAGTAATTGCTTATATGTGTGCTCCCGGCGACGCCGACCCTTGTACAAAATAAGGTTGCCAGCCATTCTATTGTGTATTATAGTATTCTATGATTATAAATCATTACATCTTAACAATAGTCCAACCTAAACATAGGCTTCTTCCATAGAGAGGATTTCGGTACTGAATCGTCTTGGCAGGCAAGTTTGCAACTGCAGTTTGTTTAATTATTTTGAGTTGTTATCAGGAAGATGCGGTAGCCCATCTGCTGTTTCAGCTTTCTTCTGTCGCCACTTACGACACACACGGGATGATATGGGGAATAGATGTTCATACACTGTCACTATACAGTAAGAGTATCATTTACTACTAAATGTAGACCAACACATGACGGTTGATGTTCGCAGCACATTGTTTACACAGCACAAATATTTGCCTGCAACTCCGTGGACCGCGGTTTCAAATCCCGTACGGAAAAAGTATTGAAGTAACTTCTTGATTGTTTCTGGGTTGACCCGTGTAAATTTTTTTTTTATAAAAGAGGGGGCAAACGAACTCGGGGCCATTTTGCATTCATGCGGCTCACCCGATGTTAATTGATTACTGCCGCCCATGGTCAACCGCAACACCAAAGGAATTGTATGTGCGTTGCCGGCCCTTTAGAAAGGGGTAAGCTCTTTTCTTGAAGGTCCCCAGGTCGTATCGGTCCGGAAAAATTGCCGGTGGTAAACTATTCCACAGAGAGGTCGTACGCGGAAGAACTTTATTAAATTTATTATAAAAAATTATTAAACACCTTCACGACAGACCAGAAATAACTAATATTTTACTAACTCTAACTCTTTGACTCACCTCTCGTTGGATTCAGAGAGCAATTTGTCGACGGTGGCCGAGAGTCTCGTGTTGTGCTCCTCGTTCATCCGCAGCCGCTGGTTCAGTCTCATCAGCTCCGCGTTCTTCTCCTCCACGCTCGCCTCCAGCCTCTGTATTCTGTCTTCAGCCGAACCGTGCCGCTCTTGAGCCTTCAAACAACGAAACAAATCACGCTGTAATGTCACATCAATATGTCCTTATATATACAAATATATAAAATTGAACTGTCTGTTTGTAATGTCAAAATAACAGTTTTTCACTAAGTGCACATAAAAGTATATACGGTACTTATGACAAAAACATAATTTTTGAAATTTTTTCTGTATGCCTGTTTGTTCCGGCTAATCTCCGAAACGACTGGACCGATTGTGACGGAACATTCACTGGTGTTATAGAGAGTAACTTAGGTTGCTTTTATTTTAGAAAATAATAAAGATACCGCGCAACAAATTTTAAACCCTAAATTACACGCGGGCAAAGCCGCGGAGGACAGCTAGTTTTTAAACATCTACCATTACAGGGAAAACCTAAATCGATAAATGTAGCATCTCAATTCAAAAAGTAACAATTCAAATGGTAAAGGATTACTAATTACAACACAATAATTAATTTAAATAACAACACATAATAAATAATTTAACTGAAAATACATTATAATCAATTGTATAATACAATTTAAGAATAACATATAGTAAATAATGTCACATTTGCGAACTCACTCCGTGAACACGAAAATAAGTCCAACTACTCAGCTACCAAATTTAGTATGTGTACCGGTCGCGTGAGGGGGGTATTGCGAACAAGTTTAGTCCTGCCGCGTAGCATCGCGAGCAAGCTCGGCCGCCGTCACCGCTGTACATACCTATCAGGCACGCATAAGCCTATCCACTGCAGCACACCCGGGTTGCTATTGTTATTTTGTTATAAGTACCGTTTGTATTTTTTACATATGCATTTAGTAAAAAGCTGCTATTTTCCCATTACAAACAAATTATTAAATTTTATTTATTTGTATTGATGAACAAAAACAGTAACTATATTTTATAACAGTACTTTTGATCATCTTATTACAAAGTAGTTATTTAATGGTAACGGGCTAGTCGCTTCCAAGCTGTTTTAAAAATAAATTTTGGAAATAGTTTGTACGACTTCTGATATTGTATAAATTACTTTATTTTTAAAGTTCCACTGGCTTTCTTGTTGGTTCTTCCCAGGACAGAAGTTTTTTTCGAACCAGTGGTAAAGTAAAAGATGACTTTCTATAAGAATGATATGTGATCTATTTTGAATAAAAAAAAATCTATGCTATTCTATTCCAAGAGCGGGGCGGCAGACTCTTTCCAGGTTCAAAGTTCTTCCACACAGAAGGGAACACCTGTGCCCAGCTTGAGACGTATGAAGGCTTACTTTACATGTTTACGTGGAATACTGCGAAAACAATCTGTTTCCACAAATATGTTCGACCTGGTCACGACAACACAGTAAATTCTAAATTCACAGAGAAATTGCAGCTTTTCTCTTCGACTATGAAATAAAATGAAATATACGTAAACAGAATATTACTCATGATACGACAAATAACATCACAAATGGTACACGATATGAAATATACAAAAGCATTAATGGCACTTTAAGTAAATATGCAATTAAAATTTTATATATTATTTAAAATAAACGTCAAAGGTGACAGATATTTACGTATGTTTGAAATTGTGGAAGAAGATAATGGGATGACTGGTAGACAATGCCTTTAGGCATAAGTCCGAACTTTGCATCCTTTTTTTTTCAGGGATTGAAATAAAGATTTTAAAATAAAAAATAAATAATATCCAGCAATGGATTATTTCTGCGTTATAACTTATAACTTTTGTCATTTTTTATATTGAATAACCTTTATGTAGTACCTGATTAAATTTTATCCAATTAAATTTCTTTTGTTGTATTTTATGGCAAAGTTAATTTAAAAATCAAGCAATAAAATTTCATATAGTGATGATGAGATGAATTGATTTCACTGAAATATGCGGGTCGAATTACTGAGACCAAATGGCAAAATACTATTTTTGTATTAGGTATTTAAAATTGAACGGTAGTATAATATTATACCAAAAAATATCCTAAAAGTATTTGGAACCGTTATTAATTTACGTTTTTAAATATTATTTTAAATATTTTTGTAAAATTGTATGAAAAAGCAAATGACAAATGAAATATGAACCTAAGAACATTCACAAAGAGAACAGGTGATAATGGTAGTACCTGATTTAGAGCTTCCATTCTAGCCTTTAGTTGTTCTTCCATCTCTGGAAGGGAAGACATTTGCGCCAATTTCTGCGTGGATAGTTCCAACTTCTCTTCTATGGCAGCTATCTTCTCTTCTTGGAGCTGTAGGGAAGGTATTTACATGTGTCATGGCGGTGAAATGATGTTAAATGGATTATTTCCTTTGTAGTAGTATTCAATGAATTGTTTTCTTTTTTGTAAATTAAAACTTTGGATCAACTTCCTTCTAAACCTAAAGAAGTGAACTGAACTAAAATGATGATTTCTTATGTTTACGCGATCATCACATTTAAATTTAACTAATTTTCACAGATTTTATCTCATATAGTAACTTTTCTATATTTAGGTGTTCAACGTCTCAATGTTATAGTTAACCACACTTACATTTAGATTAATATTATAAATTTTTGATCCGAATGAACTTAAAGTACTGGCCATGACTCCCCGTGAATATGGGCGCTGTAAGGTACTCGAAACGTCGGAAATATAAAATAAGTTAATATACGTGATTAAAACAGTAAAAACCAGTTTTATTTAAATGAACTAGACTGATTAACAGTGATTTAATGTTGATTCCATTTCAAAGTATGTGTGAAAAAGATGCTACGCTCAAACTGAAATTTGAAATTATTCCATTTCGTTTCTGAATTAGGAAGAGTGAGAAATGCAAGCCTCTAAGGTTAGAGGTTAGATGGCCCCAATTACAGTAAGGTGCGTTTATAATTATACCTTTAGCTGCGCTTGTTTGTGCTGCAACTCCTGTTCTAGCTTTTCGTTCAGATCGTGGAGGGAGGTGGATTCTCGCTGTGCATTGAGGTATCGCTTCTCCAGGGTTGCTATTCTTTCCTCCTGAAAGTAATTATAAAGTTAAATATTAAAAAATATCACAAGAGATTATTTGATTTAAATACTGCACGTTTTATAACCCGGTCTAAAACAAATTATGAGGACTGGAAGAATCAAAAACAGAAACTTTATAGTAATTTAAAGTTTTAACAAGTACACTGATATTATCGTGAAAAAAAGCAGAAAAAAAACTATCCAACACACCTGGTCCTCTTTCTGAGCGACGTTCTCTCTCAGATCACGCTGCAACTTAGCGCATTCCTCTTGCTTCTTGATGAGTTCCTTTTCGCCCTTCGACAGTTTCTCTTCAAGCTCCGTGACCTTATTGTTCAGCTCGGCCACACGCCGCTGCCAAGAACTGAGCTCTGCTGACTGGTGAGCAAGTGGTTCAATAAATATACTTTTTGACAGTAATAGCATCAGAATATTCTGGTGTTCAAGAATGCAATGACGTTGGGCTAAGTATAAGTAAAATTATATTGTTATAGCGCGAAAATAAAATCCGTAAAATTACACAGTAGTTTAAAAGAAACGTATTTCAAAATTATATAATGCTACTTCTGAAATTTCACAGTATTTTCCCTGTCTTACACATTTTATTTAGGTATGCCATGTAAGTTATAAATGAGGATATCCGCAGTAGAATCAGAATAACCGTCATAGCCCAATGGATTAGTAAGCTGAAAAAGCAGTAGCCTAATGGCAGGGCGCGGACCGCGAACTCTAAAAGGTCGTGGGTTCGAATCCACCATTCGACTACTGGCGTGAACCACTAGTAACAAAAGCAATTTAAGCTTACCACGAGTGGTAAAGGGGAATATTAGTAATGTTTATAGCACATTGTTGACATTCTTTAAAAAAAATGGCAATGGCCGGCCACATGGCTCGAAGAACCGACGACCGATGTGGAAGAAAATTTTTCGAGTGACAGCCTTGCACCGATAGGTAAAGTGTAGAGCGAATCCCTACAAGATGAAGTGACGACCTGGTAAGACATGCAGGAAGTCGATGGATGCAGGTGGCTCAGGACCGCGCTTTGAAGCATTCCTTGGGGGAGGCCTGTGTTCAGCAGTGGACTTGTGAAAAGCTGTAATTATGATAATGGATGTGATGCCAAAAGAAACCAATTGTTGCAATTATACGACTAAAATTTAAATAATAAGTTTGTTTTGTATTACTTCTTATTTACATTTGTGGATTAGAATGATTGTAAATGCTAATAATGCAGATGTTTTGGACGTAATTCAAATCCGTATTCCATGGTTAACTTATAACACTGGTAATCACAATGATAATTCGACTAAATATATTTGTCGTGTAGGTGCGGCATGAGAGAGTCCACTACCCCTCATCATCCCGTGCGTGGTGTGAGAGGCGACTGAGGAAAATTTTACAGGAAATTGGCAGAAGTATTTTCATGACAAAAACGGAAAATAATAAAAGCCTACACCTATGAGGCAATCCTGGGCGAGGCCTAAGTTCAACAGTGAAATTTTGATGAAATGATGATGATGATTATCACCATAACGTTATTAGTACGAGAATATCGAATGTAAGTCAATTACCCTTAAGTTTTTTTTTACCATATGGTAATTGTAGAGAACCGGAGACCCTTTTTACTAGAATCGAGGTATTCCGTCTATGTCCTCAGGGGTGACCACGCATTTGCATTTTGATTCATAATTGAGGATAAACGTAAATAAATTTTTCTATAATGGGTACAGTGAAGCGTATACAAAATTCTATCTTTATCTTTAAAAAACGTTACACCAACACTAGGTTTTCTCTTGTATCTTAAGGCAGTTTAATGCATAAACTTCACAAGGACAAACATCCAGACCAGGAACAATTATCTGTAGGCAATACAAATACATGCTCTGTGCGGGATTCGAACCTGCGGATCCCAGCTCAACAACTCATTACTAAGTCACTGCGCCACAGAACCATCAACTGTTCTAAATGTAATTGCGTGAATTTAAAAAAAAATTGAATTGAAAGTTTAGAAGACCACTCGGCACTATTCTGAATAGCATCTTACGATCTAACGTTACCCTACACATGAGGTGAGAGAGTATTACGAGATGTTTCATGAAATATTGTAAGTGAATGCGAACATCTTAGGTATTATAATTTCACTTGAATGCCATAGCAATGTATGATCAGATGGTGTTGATATAATGACACATTTCAATAGATGTAATATCTGCCAACTGCCAGTGGAGCAACGTGATGAATATTGAGTTTATAAATATAAAAAGAGAGTAAAGAAAGATATCATTTAAACTACAAATGAATTGGATAAAGCAAACATAAAAATATATTTTAGATAATTCAAAATCAAAATTAATATGACTCACGCATTTACACAATAAAGCAAAGATAAATGAAAGAACTATATATATTTATAAGCGACAGTAGCCTAATGGCAGGGCGCGGACCGCGAACTCAAAAAGGTCGTCGGTTCGAATCCCCCATTCGACTACCGGCGTGAATCACTCGTAACACAAGCAATTTAAGCTTACCACGAGTGGTTAAGGGGAATATTAGTAATGTTTATTCAATTATAATTATTTAATATTAGTAATGTTTATAGCATTGTTAATATTCTTAAAAAAAAACTGTGTCCTATTACATGCATTATGAGATGTTTAATATTGTATAGCGCTTAGATGTATATTTCTATGAAATCAATGAAAAAGAAGCCTTGAAAATCATGTCATTATAATTCGTTTCTTTTTTCAAAAGAGATCGATTTTATGGTCTTCACAAGAGCATGTTATAATTTACGAACTGGTGCCAGCAGTGAGATTCGACAGCAACCTCAATCAAAAATAATACTGTGGTCAAGAGTTATAATATGTTTTTATTTATTTTTGCCTATACCTAACCCTTTTATATTTAATATTCTTTATTGTAAAGAATATTAGGCACATGACTGTGTTTTAAATCAATATAATCCAAATATTGAATGTAGTTGCAAACTCTCCAATTATACAAAAAGTAAACTTTTTAAAATATAAACATAAAACTTTACTTCGTAGAAAACCGTTAAAATGACATATTATTAATATCATGCGAAAATATTAAACATATTAATAAATATCATGCAAAAATGGCGGTAAACATGACAATTACTACAAAAATATCATGAACCTAACTCTTTGTCTATTTTCATCGTATGCTATAAACTGAACATTATTTGAATTATTTTGTCATTGCAATCGATTGCCAATGCGATTAGTAATGGAACCTCCATACAAAATCATGGATGATTCGAATATACAATATTAACAAGCTGTAACAACCCTATTTCACTTCCTCAGGGGTTGAATGTTCTAAAATTCTTTCTCATTGGGTGTCTAAAGTGAGAAATATATGCCTAATTTCAAGTCCGTCAGGAATTTAGTTTTGGAGATCTCGTGATGAATGAGTCAGTGGTAATTCGCTTATATATATTATGTATAGATATATGGTAAATAAGGTAGACTCTGGTCTGACCTGCTTAGCGATCGTATTTTGGAGCTCAGTGAGTTTCTTGTTGCTCTCGGATTCGCCGTTAACACTACTTTGCTCCTGCGTACACCGAAACAAACACATAAAATTAAAGTGAACATGCCCGTCTATAACTAGAATTTTTTCTATGCACTATCTTCCGTGGTGTAACGCGATTTCATATTATACTGATTATAAATTTTAAGCATACTTGTCATTAACAAAATATCCAATGCCAAGCGATCCATTCTTATAATAACGTTCATCTTGAATGACTAGGCGTTATTGCCATCCATGTTGCTTGACGCATCACATGACGACTCACACTTATGGTGTGTGTGTTGTTTTAGCATGCAGAACACATATTTTACAATATATTTAGTGTAAGCTTAATCTTTCCCAGATCGAAAGAAATAATATAACATGGTGTGGCACGATTATGTGAAACATAAATACACTTTATATAACATTTAATTGTAAAAATTCGCGTTACGCCATAGAAGTGAATTCGAACATGTCTTTACACATCTTTGAACACACATTGTTTTTAAAACCATTAATCTTCAAACAACTTAACGGCCCATTCACACGTAAATACGTCATGACTATTAAACAAATCTAACTAATCGTAGTTAAACATGAACACAATTTATTTTTTTTATTTAAAATATTATGAATTATGTACATAATATATATTGTGAAAAAAGAGCAAAAACTCAAACGTCCCTTCACACACCAATAAAAAGATTTTTCCAACAAACTGAGTCATGAATTTTCACAAAATCCCGAAGTTCATTTTGGCTACGATATTCTTTCTTTTTTTTAAAAAAAATTATTACCCCTAACACTAAGATTTTCTCTTGTATCGTAGGGGCAGTTTACAAACATAAATTGCGCAAGAACAAACATCCAGACCCGACAAAACTATTTGTAGGCCATACAAATACTTGTTCCGTGCGGGATTCGAACCCGCGACTCCCAGCGCAGCCACTCATTGCTAAGCCACTGCGCCACGGAGTCGTCAACGATTCGTAAGAATCATGATCTGGAAATGTCGGTATGAACAGCCCATTATTATGAGAAGAGAGAAGAACAAATCTAAATAAATTCTTTCCCACAACAGTGCATTAACAAGTGTAAGACATGTTCCCAAATAATAACAATAAATATAAAAACACTAAACAATTCGCACAATTAACATTCACAAAGCGTCTACATAGTTGTAACACTGACTAGTACTCTCTTGTGTGTATTTCTACAGAAAATTTTGATACAAAAATCGCCAATCAGGTCAGTTGTTCCGGTTACAGTGTGAATGTATTGTGTGTATCATACATTATCATAAACTTACCTATATACACATTAGTAGCGTAGTCTCTTATATATATACCAAAAACACAAAATTAATTTAAAAATAAATGAGATAAGCGTAATACGTTCCGTATAACGTAACACGTCAGGCCTGCAATACCTATAACTGGTTTTGGTAGCTTAAGAGACTGCATCGCGTTTCAAGTGTCGTAAGAGTAGACTATAGGTATAAAATTTATCCTTTTCTAAAACCCTAATTTATAAATAAATTAGGGTTTTAGAAAAGGATCAGATTTCCTCTGGCTAGACCAAAACTAAAGAAAGCAATACGATATTTCAAGAAAAAACACAGTTTCTTTCCAGCTCTTCTCCGAGATATTACTTTAACGGTCATAAGAGCTTTAAATAAACCTTTAATGAATAAAAAGATCAGACTTCAACCGTTATATTACAAAAAGTAGTTTAAATTTATTCCTACGTTTAATCTAAAATCTGTTTTATAAAAGAGGCAGAAATATGAAAACTAAAATGAAAGTATTGAATTGGACAGAATATGAGCCAGCGCTCACAGACGGCACGGCTTGGCAAGGCATACTTCGACTTGCCGAAGGATCCTGTGGCATCAGGCGGTCGCAGAGACCACCGCCGCAACGGGCTAGATTCAACCTTGTTTCAATTACTTAGCAATCACAATCACATTCCTTTAACATCATAAAGTAACCTATTTGTTTCACGTGATGCAGCGGCGTACCGCGGTTTATTTAGTGTTGAAATGAAGGAATGTCAGAGCTAAATTTATAAAAAAATCCTTTGACGCGCTGTACCGTCTACAAGCGCAGGCCCTAAGCCAAAGGAGACGGTCCGAAATTGTATAAAGCGTAGGCCTAGTTTTGTACTAGCAGAAAATAAATTAAAATAAAATATTAAACTACTTTTGATCATCCAAATTCACGTATATGTGAATTTGGATGATCAAACCATCCTTTATTTCAGTGGTATTCATATTTTATTCTCACCAAACAATGCAACACTAATGGCGGATAGATGTCGTATTGACGTTAGCTGTCAAATGTCATGGGATTATTGATTCATTTATTTATGGCTATATGAATTCTGAAATGTTGTGCTATCTTTATTACTAAACCAAAACCAAATCGAAAAAACAAATCCTCCAGAAACACAAACGCATTCACCATTCGAGTTCACAACTACACGACTAAGCTCGGAATAAATAAAAACATACATTATTTCATGACTCAAGTCACTTGTCAGAAATGACATTTGACAAATAACCCCGTCTTTTTTATGACTGAAGGGCGCCATATTGTTAAATCATCAAAAACTTGATATTGCATTTTTATTTTTAGCAAGTTATTTAGTTTGATTTATTCTCTTATTTTATTTTTAATACAATCCCTGAATTTTTCGCTTTTTACGGTATAGTGACCATTGACTTTGCCTAAAATGGACCGTCTCCTTTTCATGACTCCACGGCTCAGATGACTCCTCGACTCAGAAATGTCTTTAGTTAAGACCATTCTTAAATCACAGTCTAAATTCGAGACTATCATAAAACCACGTTTTGTAATATGACTGTGAAAGTTATTTGTATTATATTTTTGTATGTTTCTTTTTTTTTAAATAAAATATCAAAAATAGTAGCATCTACCTACCTTAGTTTGTTGCTGTTCGCCATTTTGTTCAGGGGAACCACCCACGCTGCCATTCTCTTTCGGCTTCTCACTCTCTTGCGCGCTTGATGATTTATACTGCTGTAACTGGATGCATGATATACAGGGTTATTTATCAAAAAATAGCCAATTTTTAAACTTAAGTTCAAAGATATAAATAATGATATACCGTTATTGCAGTTTTTGAAAATACGAGTAAACAAGGGTTCTTCTTTTATTTGAAATAATCCCAAATTTAACGACGACGACCAAATTTAACGGGTCGACCCTTAGAAATGTTTGCGTGTGCAGTAAAATCAGTTAAAATAATACATTAACACGCATTTTGAATTTAAAGGATTAAAAACACAGTATGTTTGCGATTTTTTTTAATAAATTTTGTTCACTATTTGCCTATATTACTTATTCTCAACCTTTTGCGAAATTTGGCAGGTTATTTCAAAATAACTCGGTATATGTCACTCAATTATCATTTTAAATACTAAGTTTTATAAGCGAAAGTAGTCGGGTGGTTTTACTAGAATCCGTAGTGTGGGTGGAAAATTGATAAATGTTACATGCCAAATTCTTATACAAATAAGAGCTCGTCAATCAGACGTTGTTTGATCGTGTGACGATGTTTTCACCAAATTCCTAGTAACCGACTTTTTAGTGTGTAAGTTTAAAATTCATTCAACAACCTATAATCTATTACAGTGGCGAAGTCTCCATAGAAGCCGAAAAGGCAGGCTCGCCCTTTCAAACTACTCCATTAATAATGTCAACTAATAAAATAACTCGTAAACTGTTTCAAACTATTTCAAATTTCCCGCGCGCTCCTCTGTTCTACAAAGGTCATGACCCGTGTAGAACAGAGGGAACATCTCGTCAGCATAATTTGAATACTGCTACCTTTATACAGACATATTATGTATGTATGTATGTATATATGTATTTACGTATGTATTTATGTGTATGTATATGTATGTAGGTTTTAAGTAATAATTGATATATATGTAATAATATATATTCGGTTGTATTCATATGCATTAGTGTAATTTACAAGCTTTATTTTAATTTGTGTTATATCTATATGAGTTAATTATATTTAGTTATTTAAGTCACCTGCCACTAATGTCTCACCACGCCATGGGTTGGCTGGCAGAGAATGATAACTGGCATTAAGTCCGCCTTTTGTAACCTTTATAATTAGAACAATAAAGCTTTTAAATAAATAAATAAATAATTAAACCGTAGATATATAGCAACGGTGAGATCATCTCGTAACAACATGAACGGTTTTAGATTTAATTAAACAAAGTAAACAAACAGTGTCGCAGATGAATTCGTTAATTTTGTTTCATTCGTTTCCAACATGTTTCCGCCTACCGATATGTCGTATTTTTTATTGTAATTTGTTTTGGCTCAAGTTCAAAAGGTTCAAATTAATAAACTGGCCATAAAACAGTCAGTTTTTGTAATCCTATTAGCATAAACAATCGAACCGACAGCTATAGCCTCATGATAATGGGTTAAAGTTTAAAAGTTAATGTTACAGCCAATATACGTCCTAGATCTCGTCCCATTTTGTGAGAGGGTTTTAGAGCCAGAAAATGTCCGCCGCGCTGCCCCAATGTGTGTTAGCGAACTTCACATGTCTTCGAATTTTTCTTTCTTATTTCTCAGAAATGCGGATTTCCTCGCGATGTTTCCTTCACCGCCGAGCACTTGATAAATCAGCACTTAAAATTGCAATTTACCAATTTCACTGATGCCGGTGGGGATCGAACCCGGGTTGCTCACGTACTGTGAAATTTACGGAGAGCGCTTAACCCCTGAGCTACTACCGCTCGAGCATGATCCTGGGTACGAACTGCGAAACTCAAAGTCCTTGGTCGTAGTAATCCACCATTTGACTACTGTCGAGAAACCACTCCCAGTGCAGCATTTTTTCATAAAACATTGTATTAAATATTTTCAACTCGACTATAGTTAGTGACAGAATCAGGATGACAAACAAGCGCAGATTTCACCTGACGGTAAGTGGATTGTGGACAATGTAACTTTTGTGATATCGACGTAATAATTATAAATATTATGCTTCTCGAATTAAAATACATATTGTAAACTAGCTAAATATAACTGGGTTCGATGTGACAACTTACTTCTTCTTTGGTTAAGGCTAGCTCTTCTTCTAACGCCGTGTTCCTTTCTAGTGCCACACGAAGTCTCTCCCGGACCTGGAAGCCCAAATACACTATATTAATATTTTTTGAACTACATATTTTTTACCATGATATTATCGTACCTTTTTTATTTTTTTATATAGAATAAGAATAGGGTGTCAAACGAGCACACAGTCCACCTAATGGTATGTGGTTGCTGGCCCATAGACATCTATTTATATCCTCGATTATCCCACCCCCCCCCCCCGAGTCTCCCGTTCTCTACACTCACCATACGAAACACAGCAGCGTTAAGCTGCTATTTGCCCTCGTATTCTGTGAGAGCGTGCTCCTACCCCGGTCGAGCCGACCCATTCGTGCTACAACTATAAAACTATATAATCGACTACGTGTAACGTACCTAGCCTACCGGACCTATCGTGTCCATGGAGTGCAGTAGTCACTTACCATCAGGTGGTCTGTAACTTCGTTTGTCACCTTCATTAAACAAAAAACGCTCCACAGATGAATACCCATTACCGAATAGACGAATAGGCGTGACATAACGAAACTACGTACGCTGATCCATTTTTAAACAATATTATCGGATTGTATGCACCTCATTACGCGTAAGTATATTAAAAATATCGGACTTAAAATATTGACGGCTCCGTGGCGCAGTGGCTTAGCAATGATTTACAGCGCTAAGTGCCGCGGGTTTGAATCCCGCACGGAACAAGTGTTTGTTGTATGGCCTACAAGTAATTGTTCCGGGTCTGAATGTTTGTCCTTGTGAAATTTATGTGTGTAGTCACTTATCATCAGGTAAACCGACGCTCGTTTGCATTCTCATCTACAAAAAAAAAACTTTGAAATATCGGACATTTATTATGAGTCTTCTTTTTTATTGGACCGTAATATTTCACTCCAAAACATGGTCCTCTCCCGTGTAGGAAGGATTTTAGTAAGAGGTGACAGAGGGAAACAAATCAGGAGATGGGCAGCAGCCTTCCAATAACGACTAAAAAACTGCGGTTGCCAACCCGCTTGCCAAGCTCGGCAACTATGCTAGTGCCAAATATGCCCCTTATGAAGCATTTAATGTTATGGTAACTGTTACGGTAACAGAGTCTATCAATGCCAATAAAATACATCTCCTATGTCTATGTCTAGATATTCCAAGCTTCAAGTGAGAAGTTAAGAAAAAACCTAAAACAGACCTTCTCGTCTAAGGCCTTGTGATGCTCGAAGAGGCTCTTGAGTGCCTTGAGCACCTCCACCTCCGAGGAGACGCCGGACTGCGCGGCAGCCTGCCTCTTCACCACCGTCATGCGGAGCGACCGCTCGTGCCTCGAGACCAGACATTCTAGGTGCTCCAACAGTAACTGAAAAGGAAATTCGAACTTTTTAGAACGCACTTTTGGTGTTTTTAATGTGTAGTCCTAATAAAGACTTAAAATAAAAATAAAAAATAACTGCGGTTGCAAACCCGCTTGCCAAGGTCGCAACTATGGTAAACATTCCCCCTACGAGGCAATATACAAGGAAGGTCTATGTTTAATGGACTCTAATAGGCAGTAAGCGTAACGATTTGACGTTTTTAAATTTGCTTCTACAATAAGAGGCAATTCAGAAAACTGATGATAACAAAATCGGGGGATACAGTTTGGTGTCGCAGCTACACATCTATCATCTTCATCCAAAATTTAATTACACCACTCGATAGCTAAATGAGCGGAGAATTCGTTACGTTCAGTGAGGGCGATGTGGGGGAAGCGCCGCCATTTTGAGGTAGTTTCATTACGTAAACACATTCACGTAAAATACACGACAGTGTTTACGACACAGCATCACCTCGATTTTTTATAGAATAAGGGTGTAGACAAGCAAGCACACAGACCACCTAATGGTAAGTGGATGCTGTAGCCCATATACATCTATATCCCTTCTCGATTCAGAATTAAAACGTGGACGCGTTGTCAACCCTGAAGACTAAGACGGAATGCCTCGTTACCAATAATAAGGGTCTCCGGTTCTCTACACTCACCATACGAAATACAGCAGCATCAAGTTGCTACTTAACGCTGGGATTCTGTGAAAGCGTGGTCCTTCTACGGTCAAATCTTTCGTGCTGCAACCTACAACCGTAATATAGCTGCAGTATGGTTTTACTACGTATAAATTTGTATATGCCTTACAGGGCTAAAACATTACAAATATAATAACGGCAATTGCAACCTTGTCTACGCATACGTAGCGTTTATTTTACGCAATAGCGTAAAATAAACGTAAGACAATAGTCTTTTAATATTGAGTAACGGTACTAATATACAATATTGAGTAATCAGTAGATTGGATTATGATATTTTATATTCATTCGTTGCCATAAAACATGTATTCGTGCGATGTGTGGGATATGGCCAGAGGAATCCTGTGAACCAGCACCTATACCATTATTTAAAAGACTTTGTGTAATATCTCGTAACTAAAACTTGTGCAATTGGCATATTAGTTTAAAAAAATAAGTGATAGTTTATTCAAGCAAGTGATTTATCCCCGAAAACGACGTGACCCAGACAAACTAGTCTTAGATGTTATTTCTAGACTCGGTCACTATAACAAGAATTGTCTAAATATATGCATGAAAATGCATATAAATAAAGTTGAGGTGTCTGTCTATAATACCGAAATAACTGCCTTTTATTGAGTTGAGGTTATTTGCATTCTATTAAGACATGAATAACCATTTTTAAAATGTTTGTGTTCGGAATGGCTTAACTGATTTTAATAAAACTTCACAAACAGGTGAAGAAAACCAGCCTTAATTTGGGGGAAACTATAACCTCAAAATGGCTTATAGCAAGATCCTCCGTTATGCCAAAAGTATTGCGGAAGCATTATACATTTTGAAATAAATATATGGTAAAGTTGAGGATTAATGTTAAGGTTTATGTTAGACGAAAACACGATTCCGTAAAATCTTTCTCGATAGAAAAAAAATCCAAAGTTACCTCCAAACTGAACAATAAACCGCTGTTATTCGCCCATAAAATAGCGCCTTTAAATTAAGATCATTGAAACTTTGTTCATAGTCTAACTGAACCTAACATATAAAGCAGTGGCTTATGTTATTTGTACTTTTTTTAATTAATATCATTATTTTCAGTGTAAAAAGAAATTACCTAAACTATCGGCGCGTAAGCTTGGTTCCTGCGGAGCGACAGGAAAAAAAGTGCAAAGTTTCATGATCTTATTTAAAGTATTTTATGAATAACAGCGGTTTACTTGTAACTAATTAAAAAGTTGTCACTAGAATTGCTCTCAAGTGTACGGTAGTCGAATGACTCAAGTGTACGTGCGAAACCAATAGACGACGAGAATCTGCTGACGAACCAATCACGTTGAGCGTCAGCGTGGTCAACGTTATATCGACCAATAAAAAGTGTGTTCACGACTCGTGGCGGCAATTATAAATTGAAGTTATGGAGAATAAAAAAGAAAAAAAAAAGAAATGGAAGAGATTTTTAACGTCCGTCGAGTATAGTAATTACATACATGTAAAAAGCATATAAATGACTAGCGTTCCATTTTCAAAACTTTGTGATCTAACAAGTCCTTCAATTTTTGAAACTTCGTATTGGGCACGCAAAACATGAGCCGTAAATTTCGGCGGCGAAATAAAAGTTCACGATGAGCAATAAACCGTTATAAACGAACTTTATTTGTCGATGTAGCAGTTCGCTTTTTAAAAAGGGTTGTATTTCGAAGATATTTTGGCAGGCACAGAGAAAGTCAGCATAAATAATGCTAATATAATTAAATGCATAAATAATGTCAATAATAGTAAACAGACCACCGCTGGTCATGGGCGTAATTAGGAATACAATAAGTAGGAGTCAGGCATGGCTACCCCTGATTCAATTTCACAGTGCGTGGGTACCCTAAGTTCCAATCTCCAAAACCCTTTCAACTTTCACGCCTTTCAACTTCAACAACTTTCAAATAACATGTGAGAATAATTAGTTACAAACGCCACGCATAGGAGTCGGATACGCAATCGTAAAATTAGAAATTTCGCATCTCTTAACTCTGCTTCCTGTCTTTTTTCTTCTTTCTTTATAGAATAAGCGTGACAAACGAGCACACAGTCAACCCGATATTAAGTGGATTCTGCGGCCCATAGACATCTAAATATATCTTTCGTTAAAGTCAAAATGCAGATGCGTTGTCATTCCTGAGGGCGAAGATGGAATGTCTCATATCCATACATTCACCATACGTAACAAAGCAGTATTCAGCTGCTATTTTACGCTGGTATTCTGTGAGATATCAAGATGCTAAATCTGAAATATCTAGTCTAGACCATTAAAAGATCGTTACAGATATTAAAATACCACATACAGATGCGTGGATCTTAACAGGAAATGCGACATTTTGTTGCAAATAGAATGCAAGCTAAAGCGTACACAGAATATAGAAACAGATTAAAGGAATGCAGTGCTAAGTGCTGATGTGTTATTTATTTTAAATTAAAACATTGGGAACGCACTTCACAACATACGTATATTATATGTTACAGCTAATATTAGTTTGCTTACGATTAGCCGGCTAAGCTTAAGTTTCCCTTTGAGCGTACGCTTACTATATCGTCTTTCTATCTCTAGCATTTGACTTAAACGGGTGCTAGCATTCATCGTACAGACGTGAACTGTAAGTCGCGAACTTATTATTCATATATTTATTAGAAATGTTTTTAAATCTTTTTAATTTCTTCTGGAGTAGCCCATACATGAGTTAATCGAGCTTACATTGAAAAGAATTAGCCTACCCTTAAAACTTAAGTATATAAGTTACCAAAAGTCAAAGTTAATTATTTACACCAAATTTATTTGTCAAATATATGTTATATTATGTTATATATAATATAATACGTTATATAGGGCTTTACCTATAAAATTGCCGTTCAGCAGTACTGGCCATTTCAAATCAAAATAATTTTTGTTCAAATTAATTGTATTTTAGAAACATGGAATTCTTTTCCAAAATTAGTCATTTATTTATTGTATAGCATTACCTTTTAATCGCATTAGAATATTTTTCATCATCACGGATGGATGGAACAACAATTACACAAATAGACGGCCCCCAGTCCCCGGCGGCCCTGCTATTCCTGGCTACGGTGGCGACCATGGTAACGGCGGGGCAGGGGGTGCTAAGAATCTCCGGTGGAGGTTCGGTTGCCACCTACGACGACTCGACCTGGCAACATTTAACGCACGCACACTGAGGTCTGACGAGAAGATCCTGGAGCTGGAAGAAGAGATAGACAAGTTGCGCTGGAGTATTATAGGATTATCCGAGGTCCGAAGAGAGGGGGAGGACACGGTGATTCTCGAATCCGGCAACTTGTTCTATCACCGGGAGGGCGACCATCTGTCCCAAGGAGGTGTCGGATTTATCGTCCACAAGTCTCTCGTCAACAACGTTGTAAAGATTGGGAGTGTGTCGACGAGGGTCGCGTACCTGATACTCAGAATCACCAAACGGTATTCGCTGAAGGTCATACAGGTCTACGCACCAACCTCGGCACATCCCGATGAGGAGGTGGAGGAAATGTATGAGGATATTTCTAGAGCCATGCATTCCTCCAAAACCCACTACACGGTGTTGATGGGAGACTTCAACGCAAAACTAGGCACAAGAGAAAACGGTGAGCTGAAGTTAGGGAAATTTGGAGTAGGGCAACGGAACCGAAGGGGCCAGCAGCTGGCCCACTTTATGGAGAAAGAGGGTCTCTTTATGATGAACTCTTTCTTCCAGAAGCGGCCCCACAGGAAGTGGACCTGGTCGAGCCCCGACGGTTCGACAAAAAATGAGATTGACTTCATTATGACGACCAGACGCCAACTGTTCAGTGATGTCTCAGTGATCGCAAGGGTGAAAACTGGCAGCGATCACCGAATGGTTAGAGGCACACTGAACCTAAACGTTAAGTTGGAGAGGTCTCGTCTAATGAAGTCAACGCTCCGTCCCCCCTCGTGCTCTAATTCAAAATCCCGAAAACTTTCAGCTCGAGTTACACAACCGCTTTCAGTGCCTACAAGATTGCAATGCAGTGGACGATGTGAATGACAAGCTCGTGGAAACTGTCCATGCGGTCGGAGCTAAGTTCTGCAAGACCCGCCGCAGAAGAACACAAAAACTCTCCGATCACACTCTTAATCTCATGGCTGTTAGACGGGAGATGAGGCTGCAATCGTCAACAGATTTGACAGCATACAGGCAACTGATCTCCAAATGCATGCGGCGAGACTTACGCAACTTTAATACTGCTCGTATTAAAGAAGCGATCGAGCGGAACCAGGGCTCCAAAGTCTTTGCCAGA